GGGGGGGGGGGAGGAAGACAAGCAGGCAGACAGGAAGAGATTCTTCTGCTAAATTATAAGTTCTGTTATCTTGATTCATCACCTGCCAACAGAGTAAGAGATCTTCAATGATGCTGTGACGTGGTTCCACCTTGGATTGAAGTGCCATTAAAAAATCATTTCTAGCCTCTTGGGCATCTCCTAACCTTGAGTGTGCAATGGCCCTGTTGGTCAGAATCTAATTCAAATGAAACAAAAAAATAAACAAATCAACACTGAAAAAATAAATACAAAAAATGCATTAAATAATATAAAAAAATGGCCACTGTTCTGAAAACTTGGGATTCCTTACCTCGCACAAGTAAAGTTTAGACTTTAAGCCCAGTTGCTGATAATTTATTAATCTATTTCCCCGCAGATAGAAATTAGCGTCATTAAAGTTCTTTAGTGCGTTTTCATTCCTGAGAGAAGAAAATATACAAAAAGTTATGTAACTTGCCGTACATGCAGTGATTCAAACCTGATCTATTCTGCATACCGCATTTAGCCATGGACTGAAGAAGCATGGCCTGCCTTCTTGGACCAAATTAGTCTAACTGGGATACTTGCTCAGTAGTAAAAGTACATGTATATTTATAGAGGATTATAGGACAGCAAGAAAGAAACTAGTTAGACACATCTTGAAATTCCCAGAACATGCTCTAAACATCATTAGATGGTCATCATCATCACCATCATCATCATCATGTTTCATTGTCATCATCATTGTCAACTTTAACCCATTGACACTTGGAGATTACTTGGAGATTTTTAGGAAAAAAAATGGCATTTTTCTAAATTTTTGGCATTTTCAGCCTGGATAGGAGCTAAATTACATACCCAAAAAGGCATTTGCGACATTGTGTTTTTGCAGATTTTTGCTCAGGCATGTGCAGAAATCAAAATTTTAAGATAGTTTTTGGACCTACATCTTCAGGGTTTTGGGTGTTTTGAATTCTTTGTTTTTGCCTTTCCGTTTCCTCCTTTTCTTATCTTTTTGCTGCCATTGTTGACCTTCTACTGGGCTTGCTTCCAGGTCAGGAATCTCCAAGAAAGCACCAGCAAGACAGGATATTCTTACCATGGAGTAATCAAGTGTAGTTGAGGGAATTTTGAGTTTTTCGTTAAAATTTCTAAGCATTTTTCGTGTATATTTCAGGCTCAATTGACCCAGTCACTCTGACCTGGGTATCATTGGGAGGATCTTTTCCTCCTGCAGAACTCAAGTGTAAGTGATGCCAATTTTGATCAAAGATGATAATGTTAAAAGTTGAATAAAGGCCAATGCTTGTCACGGGAGGTTACAGGCAGCACAGGCATCAATGGGTTAATAAAGGTTGCTTTATTTTCCTGATTTGTATGTTTTTGCAAAGATATCTATCTTTCTACATGTACACTGCACATGTAGATACTTGGTTTTAGTTTCTTATTCAGATAAATCTTGGCAAACTTTGCTGTTGTTACACCTGAATGAAAGGCCTTATAATCATTGTCTTTTACTTTAAATTGAACCTAGGCACCCTTTTGATATTTTATGAACAAGCTACAATGAATTTCTACACACTATTAAAAGAAAATGTACAACAGAGTGAGGGAATTGTTTGGAATGAAATTCTACTTTATCACATCCACTTCAACATGTTCCTAACTTTTCTTAACCCATTGACTCCTGGAGCTTTTTGCCAAAAACACATTTTTGGGCATTAAGATCATCAGCCTGGATATGGGCCAAATTAGCTTCAATCTACTCAAAAAGGCATTTTGCGACACAACAGCATGCATTTCTTTCCACTACTGACTAGCATCGTTTGTAACAACATTTTTGCTCGGGCATGCACAGAAATCAAAAGTGACCCACATCTTTAGGCTTTTCGTTTTTTAAATTTTTTTTTGCCTTTCCTTTATTGCCTTTTCTTATCTTTTTGCTGCAGTGATTGACCTTCTACTGGGCTTGCTTCTAGTTTAAAAATTTCTGAAAAAGCATCATCGAGATGGGCAATATTTACCATGGAGTGACTATGTGAAGTCGCAGGAAATTTTGCTGTGAGTTTTTCACTCAAATTATTGGGAATTTCGTGCATATTTCAGGCTCCATTGAGCTGATCACTCAGATCTGGGTATCATTACTAACACAAAGATCTTATCCTCATGCAGAACTTGAGTACAGATGATGCCAATTTTGATCAAAGGTAATGACGTCAGAAGTGGAACAAAGGCCAACACTTGTCACGGCCAGTTATGGGCAGCATGGGAGTCAATAAATTTAAATTTGTATAAATTTATATAATTAGAAAATTACAGTTACAATTAAACTGAAATATTGAATAAGGGTTTAACTATAATTACCTATTCAATGCTAAATTGACATTCCCCAGCATGAAATGGGCAACTGCCAACATTTTATCTTTCTCTACCGACTCTTCAAAAGCCTATAAGTTAAACAAATAAGTGGAAGTTTAGCATCATAAACCTTTTACTAGTAACGGTAATAACTTAACTGTAAAGTCTATAAACATGGGAATGTTGCAAAAATTGTGTCACATTGGTAGTTTTAAAAAATCATCAAGTAATGACCCAGCATGTAAAAGGTAAATCAGATATTTGATAAAATTGACCAACCTGATTAAGAAATTTTTTGCATTGTTTCTTTGTTTTCCCTAGCCCTCAGTGCCAAAATATCTACTTTTGGGTCTTCTTAAAAACTCATATCTCAGTATAACCTAACATTTTCCCACCCTTTAACCTTTAATGTATATAATGCAAACACATGCAACACTATTTAAAATGTGTGGTTGATAACTCGAAAGTGCAAGGCCAATATAGTATACTGAACTGTTATTAAAGACAATTGAAGACATTTCTATAAGTGGTGATATTTATCTGTTCACATGATTGTCCACGTGCAGTCAATGCAAATTGATTCAAATGTACTTAAATATAGAGTTGGCAAGTAATAGCTACCATCTGATTGGTATTTTGAAACACGTGGCATGATTATGCAGTTAACAATGCATTTTTACACATAATATCCCATATTATTTATTGAATGGTGACGAACTAATGACACAGTTTAGTTATCAAAAGTTTAGAAAGTAGATCTATAAAATTAGCATAGAAAGTTCTGCTGGTGCAAGGTTCACTGCAAAATAAAAATTTGTCTGAGCTGTTGGTTAAGGGCAGCCATTTATTTTTATGGGGTTATGGGAAATCTTCTGTTGGTTCATATTTTCTGTTCCATTGCTTAAGTATAAACTCGTCCACTGCATGCAATATATTGAAAGACAATTGCAAACAAATAAATCAATGCATCACAAACAGAATTTGACACCAAATCATAAACAGCTGGTGTTGATCGTGAGTAAGTTAAAACAAAAATTAACGTCTACAAACATGAGGAAATACTTTATAAAGAAGTGACCAAGTGCATATCATGGAGGTCAGATTTCGTGGTAAGTGCAATGAGCACTTGTACGCTAGTTAATAATAGCCGGCCGGCTCGTGAATGGAGTCACGTAAATCACCGGCACATAAAGTTTTTATAGAGTTAAAAAAACCTTCACGTAAACTATTCTGTACCTTTGCAGCCATTTCCATTCTTTTAAGTGCTAAATACGTTTGTCCTATGTTAAAGAGATTTCTCCCCGACGTGATCAGTTGCTGAGAAGAATCAGTTCTTCCTTCTAGAGCCATAAAGTTCATCAACGCATCTTGAAAGTTCCCTTGTTCCATGAAGGTCACACCGTCCTTCCAAATTCGCAGAGTCTGCACCATTGACATGTCCTCCATTTCGAAATGGCTTGGCAGAGGCAAGAGGAGGAAACGATGACCGAGGAAAATGAAAATGCTTAACAGCTGCAAAAGGAAATATTTCAATTTAAATGATGTTCCGTAATAAAACGAATGTTTTCCACAAGAGCCGATATAAGAAAATTCACGGAATTTATTGGATTACCGCTGTACACATACTTAAGGCTCAGCAGTTGTCATAGCAACCATTACTGAAAAACTGTCCACCATCTTGGCACAAATCGAGTTGTAGATTAAATGGATTACACAGGCAGTAGCTACGAGGGAGATTTAAAAAATGGAAGGTAAATATAGATATATAGGTTATTGTATAATACATTTTAGATATCCGTTGTTCGTAGTTATATTTATTTGAGCTTCTGTCGTTGTTGCAGAATGGAAGGTAAAGCTGAGTACTTCTTACCTCCGGCACTAGAAACTAAATACGTCGGTGACATGAAGGACGGAATGTAAGCAAAACTACTTCGTAATACTTATTTTTTTTATAGAACAGATTACTATTCAGCTACTAACTTCAAAGTAGAATATTCTAAAAGGTAGTTAAGATACGCTGCCAGGTGAATCATGGCTCGATAAAGTCCTAGATTTTCCATTTTTTTTGTGCCATGCAAACCCATGCACTTACTGCTTATTCTTAGTTATGTTGTACTTTATACATTAGAGCCTAAATTCCATTTCGGCCCGATTTTTGCGTTCAGAAGAATGTAATTAGAACGTATTGTAGTGGAACGACTTGCATGATATTGTCGCTGACGTCACACACCCAGTATGACGTCAGAAGGCAGTGAAGTGTGACTTGACTGTTACGCAAGTTCAAGTGCATCATCTTTTTATAAAATAATCACTGACTGGAACTGTCGAAATTCTATTAATCTGCGACAAGACTCTGTAATAACAGTTTAAGCATGACGTTTATGGCAGACAACAAATGGCAAAGATTACCTCTGAATTTTCATTGTTTTCTTTTAATCCTTAAATAAATCACACAAAAATAGAAAAATGTCTCCTACTATTCACTGCAAATACAAATATTTTCACTCTACTATACAGACAGCTGAAGACAGACAGCAAAAGTTTCATTTTTGCCGTTTGCGGTTTGATGTAACGTCATGTGTAATCTCTATTATATTCTTCCTGGCATTATTTTCAGTTCCTGCTGCTTTGCCCACAGGTCCCCACAGGCCCAATCATATGTCTGTGGTGGTATGAATTCAACCATGTAAATTACAACATGATCACATTCAAATATAATTTATCCTATTATTGATTAGACTCCATGGAGCTACTGTAGGTCACTTGAAATAATTTTGTGATCAATTCTGAGCCTATTCTGTAGTTCCTCAGGTGAAGCACAGTTACATTTGTCATCATAAAAGTCTATATAATAAATATAACCAGAGTTTTCTAACTCATTGCTTGGAGTGAAAGTACACTAACAGCACAAACCTCAACTTCTGGATGACACCTTTTTTTCAAAAAGAGGTGTACTTAATAAATCTATTCGGACGTACTGAGTATGTCAAAATTTTAAGAGATTAAGTCAAACTCCTGACACACTGGAAACAACTTTGACAACTGAGATTTGTAAGAGGCTTTTTGAGAGACTGCTAATTTCCCATTGCCATGACATCACATGAATATCAAATTACATCAATCTCAGAGAAATGAAATGCATTAAAGAGACACGTTAAATTTACAGCCTTTCAAAAACGTGTACATGCCTGTAATTAAAGTAAAAAACTTATGGCATTTGAAGTTTTTTACTAGACACCCATTTTCAATAAGAATGGAGTGACACACAGGATATACAATGGTCTGGCACTCAAGCAGATAAAGTTAAATGTATTGTGGGCACATCTTGATATTGCTACTTTGTACTGTGCTTTAAAATATTGGCAAAGTTTAAGCTTGCTAGAAATTTATGGATTATTTATTTAATAGAGACATGAATCTGTCCCTTTAGTTTTTGCATTCATAATGTACAAGGTTCTACTATATCTAGGTTCCATGGCGATGGCACCCTGTTTTTCTCAAATGGGAGCAAGTATGTCGGAAAGTGGGAGAAAGGCATTGCGGTTGAGGTAAGAAAGATATTCAGATCTCCCATGAGGTGCTGGGGGAACTTAAAAGAGCTTTATAAGGGGACGCTCTGTCACAAAGTACAATTTCATATAGCTTATGAAGACATACTGGATCCCTTATTACTAGGTACAACTCACCTTAAATGCAACCTCTGTTGTTAGGGTAAATACACATTTGCTGATGGTTTGGAGTATGATCCAGAGGATTGGGAATACTGTGATGGATATGACAGGAGATTTTATACTGAAATGTGCAATGGATTAAAACCAGCTGGTACGTTTATATGTCTAACCACAGCCTTCCTGCTTCCTTGTTTGCTGTGGTAGGCACTTGTTCCCTTTCTTTCGAGTCTAGGAAGTTGACATATTTTGCCAAAATTTAGACAATGTCAGGTTCAATTTAACAGCTCAAAAACGCCCCCGACAAAACGCCCCCGTAGACAAATTCATGACGCAGAAATTAATTAGCTCGCATATAAGAACAACTTCCTGTATGGGAGTACATTCCTTTTTCTCGAAACTTTTCTGGCCGAAGGTTTTTAAAAGCTAATTACTTACAGTGGAATCCCAATTTCTCGAGCTCTCATTTTTTCGAACCTCCCGATAACTCGAAACAAAAGTCGTTTCCCTCTCCTCAGTCGAACACTGTAATTTTACCCCTGATTTCTCGAACTACCCGATTTTTCGAACCACTTTTTGTTTTCCTTGGAGGTTCGAAAAGTCGGGATTCCCACGGTAGTTTTCGACGATATTTCATTGTGGGGGAATTTTGTTATATTCTACTTGAGATCACAGTGGAAATTTGTCATTTTACGCGAATCGCAGTTGGTAATTTTTTCACGTAAGTACACTTGGTGGCAACAAAATCGCATTTCATTACAAAAAGAAAAAAAATCTTCAGTTTTTTTTTTTTGCTTCACTATGGAAACTACGCGTATCACGAGCAAATATCACGTTTCACGCCCAAAATACACGGGAATTCACGTCACGAATATACACCATACCGCCCCGATAATGGCTGCGCGCGATTGAGGTTTGTCGTGACTTTATTGCAGGTCGTTCCCAGCTCACCAACCGCATTCCACCTCGCGAGATTCCCGAAGGCTGTTATGACTGTGGCGACGGATTCTACAACCCTGTGTCAAGGGTGATTGTAGACTATGATTACAAGTTCCTCAGAAATGCAGGTTAGTTTTTATATTGATGCTGAAAACAGGCACGAGCCGCTTGATTCAGGACACTCTTTAGTAGTGTTGTTTGCACAACATACATCAGAACTCCGCTTTACTGCCACATCCGGGTCATTCATGGCCACTTTCCTTACGTTCTACTGATTCCGAGAACAGTATGACCAACCTGATTATAACAACAACAGATATTTGTGACCCGTTGGCGATCGGACCAACGTTGTTCCACTTTACCACGAACATATGCTGGCTGAATATACGTTGTAGGTCCAAGCATTTAATCGGGGAACACCTCAGTTTCGTCTTTTGAGGGCGAGGAAAATACCATTTTCAAACGTACATCTATATCGTGTTAGATTTAAGAACACTCATACTCAGCCCTCAAATAGACTTCTTTTATTTGTGTTTGAAATATCTGCGTTTAGAGGTAATCTTTAATTGACGAAGTGTTTCTTGTTTCATGCTACTTCAGATGCAGGTTACGCCAATCACACTGACCCATTTGAACAACCTTTTTTGCTGTTTTTATTAGATGATGACGAACATGACTGGATTCTCAAAACATGCAGGAAGGGTTGGGATGAAAACGTCGGATACAGACCAGATCTTATCAAGTAGAACCTTTGATCGTCAGAGGGATACGAACAGCATCTGCTCTAGTCCAGGACAGTCAGAGGTCGTTCTTAATACCGTCAGTTTGAACAAAGTTCAAGTTAATAATGTTCCGGACTTGAGACTGACGTACTCCGCCATGAAAATGTTTGCCGAACTAAATAATTTGTGCCCGTGAACAGAGTTATGCCCCATGCCAATTGGATGCAAAACCAAACCCATTTTGATTTAGTTACTGTTAATTTTTAATTCATCATACCGGTGTACCAGAAGACGAGAACCTTTCAGTGGACTTCCAGGGGAGTTAAACATCGCTCGAATTCGTTTGCTCGTTGAGGTTACCAACTTGTGTTAATTTAAACCTTGTTTCTTTTGTCCAAAATTTTTATTTATGTAGCTTGGTCCAGGGAAACATGTTTCGTTCACGGGAATAAAGTACATGTACAGGACTATAGAATGTAACTTGTAAATAAAAGAATATTTTTAGTGAATTTTCTGTCTGCTTCTCTCTGCAATTCGAAGAAACAAGCAACCCAAGACCTGCCTCCCAGGGCATTGGAGCTAGTCGCACTCTATGAACAAACATTTTACAACAACACAAAGAACTCGACAAAAGCAAACGACCCAGGAGTCAATAATTGCAAATCCACAAGGTTAACTTTATTCATAGTCAAATTTGGGAAAGATCAAGTTTTTATAGGCCATGACTACTAACAGTCTTTAATGCATGGGAATACAGTGTGTCGACAGTGACTAAATACACGTACGAAGAAACAATAAAGGAGAAAGCGGAAGTGGACAGAAATGGGCTTTTTCCAGAGGAGAGTATATTGATTCCCTAGTAGTCTTACCGGAATCTTCCAAAATTACGGTAGTGCGAAATTTTGAAATGTATTTTACCCTAGATGCAGTTCAATATTTACACGTAGTAAACTCTATTCTAATACATGCGCTCTTAGCACCTATCTTAACACACTCCTTGTTTCATGAGCTCTTCAGGCACCGATGAGACATTTCTTAGGGGAGTAGCTGTAAGTCCAAGTTTTGAGCAGAAATGACCTACAGATCATCGTTGGCACCGACAGAGCCAATGTAGGGAGAGCAAAACAATTTCCTTTAACGACGTAGTAATAAATTACATCAATATTTGTGTACAAAACCTATCGAGTATACGTAAGAACTATTTACAGTGTCTTTTTAACGTCGCTTGGACGAAAATAGATGTACTTTATAATGTTTCTTATAAACACGTAATTAAATGAGAGCTAAGCTCTGATATAGGTACCTTATGTTTTCCAGCTATGGTATTTTTAGGAACAAAATGACTATTTTGTTGGCTGTTCTTGTATGTACGTGGCTGTGATTCCCAATCTAAGAGTAAGTTTTCCCACCCACCCCACCCCGATCAAAATACTTTGGCTACCTGCTCATTCACGATAAAATAATATATATCTCATTTAAATATTTTCTAAGCTCAGCGTCTCACAGAGAAGTACTTTTGATTTTGTCTTGTCTCATATTATTTAAATACATCAGTAAAGCTGTCCTGACCGACACGCAATCTTTAAGTTATGTTTTCTCTATTTCTGCAAAAGATTAATATCTTCGACTGATATTTTTGTTTTGATTCTTGGTGCCGAGCCATGCTCAACCGGATGAGTTCTTTTACCTCTTTGCCGTGTCACAACCGGGAGCGAAAAATCACCGGAAGACAATTCGGTACTAGCCTGTGGTGCGCGCGTGTGCGTCCGCACTGAAACAGACCCAGGCCGTGTCGTGCCTGGACGTCTGGGCTGAATAGCACCGTGCGCGCTAAAAGAGCGAGAATAAGTTCTGAAAGGTTCATTAAGCCCGCTGGTCCTGTTGTAGACGGGAGGCTTTGTATAACGAGTAGCAGCTGTAGTAGTTTTAGGTCTTGTCAGTTCTTTCTTCAAACCTTGAGGCGCAAAAGATCTACGTGATGCAAAATGTTTGTCGTCCGGTTTAGCTCCATGAAGTCTTTGGCGCAAAGAGCTTAACTCGAGTGATTCTCGGCGATGTTGGCTTGACGAGTTTTCAACGCTTTCGTCAATTTCTGAAGTGCTGGGCTCTTCATCGTCTTCTTTGTCGAGATCACAGTCTGTGCAGCTAGGAACAGGGCAAGGAGATCCACTCACTTGAGAGAAGTTGTGCAGCAGAAAAGTACGAAAACTTGAGGCATTTTGACAACAGCACCGGCCTTGCCATGATATGTAACCTGAAGAGGACAAACGATTTACAGGAACTAAGTAAACTGTAATTATGGTTTGATATTGAAGAACAAGAATCGCCATATCAAGGGATGGGTCGGAATCGATCATAAATCGAATTCACCATGTGAACTGCAAACCAAGATCCGAAAGGTCCGAAATACGTTATGATTTCTTGAGCAACTACACGCTTTAAACTCACAAAACTAAATATTGTGATCACAAGTTTATTTCCTTGCTGACCTGAACTGTCAAGTAAAATAAGTGTCGGTGCTCCAACCAGACCAAACAGCTGGCATACATCCGGGTCACTAATCAAGCTACGCCTTATCGAGCGAGTCCGCTGACTTTGCGAATAGCAGCCACACGTATGCGTGACGGAGTCGTTGGTTTTACGCCAGCCTCGCTCGGTCAGAATATTGGCCAGGGACTGGCGATGGGAGGGGACTGGTTCTTCACTCCGCACACAGCAAGTGACAAACGCAAACTGGAAGTTAAAGGAAAGAAAAGAATCTATCAACTGCGTCAGCAGCCCCGTGTAGTCGGCCATGCTGTGATGACTCTTATATGGTTTTGACAATATTCACCTATAAGTTTTCTTTCTATAATAATGTGTTGTATTTGAGCGAGATAAAATGCAAGGGCAAATTTCCGAGAAGGAATAACATCATCTCTATCACTCAATCAGCCATTAATTGTACATTTACCTTGTCCCTGAATTCTTCAGCAAACTGCAGGAAATGTTCCATAACCTCCAGTGACGAATAACACCTGAAACAACACGACATTTACAAGTGAACAAGACGACATCGATGAGAGTGTAGAGTACAAGTTCAGTTTCCCTATCATATTTCATGCATTTGACATATCTTCGTCGAAAAATGGAACGTCTAACGATCAGAAAGTTTTCAAGATTGTAAAATCGCTAAAACAAACAAACAATAACGCGCCAAACTTACCACTTGGTCCAGAAAAGTAAGGCCACCATTTTGTTGATGCCGACAGGAGTCAGAGGCCGCCACTGAGCACTGAACACGTCCATTACACTCAACACAGGGCAGGGAATTCTATGAACCAGGATTCCTCGAGGTATGAACACTCGACCGGAAGTCCGGATTCTATGTTTAAGCTCATAAGCATGGGAATCATCCCAGCTACAACATCCAGAGTTGGGCCAACTGAAAGAGAATATCTAAATCACATCTCTGTAAATGACAATACCCTTTCTTCTCGGATAGTCTCAATCAATCGATCTCACAAGCAAGAGAGCGAACAAGGAAGTAAACAAAGAATCAAATTTCTAGTTACAGGTCCCATTCATGATCAGAATTTCATTGTCCAAATAGTTAGTATAGGATGAGTTGCAACCTATTAAACCGGTTTAGATTAAACTCTAAACAGACAACTGCAAATTTTCAACAAAATTCAATACCTTTCATTTCGCTTGTGTACATCAAAGTAACAAAACAGCACGAAAGGTAGAAATCCATGGCCAGACAGTTCGATTGCATTTGAGAGAGGACTGGACCCAACTGGGTGATCGCTGAGAGTTTGAACAGCAATCACGTGACCAGCAACGGAAAGCTGAAAACGAAAAAATCACAGATCAAGTCTATAAAGAATTGTACAGGTAAAAAAATAATTACTGGCACTAAAAGCTTAACTTTACTTCACCACCAATGTCAAAGAGTTCTATTGATATTACTTTTGAGAACTCGATGATACATCAAGACCATAAACCTGTCAGGTCAACAGTTTAACGATCAAATATCAAAACCATACGACAACAACAACAATAGGCTCGATTTCCGCCGTTCCGCGAACAGCGGCTGGTAATCGAGCCTACAACAACAACAGCAACGACAAAAACACCACCACTATTAAGGCTATGGAATGTCCAAAAGATATGGCAGCTTCAACCTGCATTCCCTCTTCCTAAGCTAAAAAACAAGAGTGGTTTTAGCTTGTCACCTTCACACGAGTTTCCAGAGTCCACCGTGAGAGAATCTTCCCGCATCGAATGCCATCAACAAATACTTGGTAACCGCTCACCACCGCGTCTCCATCGTCGCGTGGTCTTGACCACCTTATAAGAGTTGAAATAGAGCCTGGGGACGAATCAAGCCAAGAATGAATGTGCAGTTAGTTTTACTAAGTGGTTAACTTTCATATTCTTACATAAAAAAGGGTTTGTCACCATGTCCTGCAGTTTTCATGCATCAAGTGTCACATCAAGACAACAATGTCTCCTAGTTGGCTAAAATGACTTAAGAAGTTTGGAGAGCACTTGCTCTCGGCTATCACCTCGAGCAACTCTCACGCTTCTTTCGTGCTCTCCATACTTCCCGCGTGCATCCATAACTCGATACACGCACGCTAAGCATGAACCAATTCTTTAATAATGTAAAAGGAAATTAGATGTTGGCCATTTAGTCTGAGCCTAATAAACTTTGATTATCTACGAAGCAAAAGCTATAATAATAATAGTAATGATGATAATAATAATAACAACAATAACAATAACAATAACAATAATAATAATAATTATAATAACTTTATTTAAGTGTCAAATGTATTTAGCACTATTAAATGTGCTAATTGGAGACACTGTAAACAAATAAACGAATATTTCAAATATAACATAAACTATTAAGAATCCCAACTGGTTGGAAGCTGACCGGTTGGCTATTTACACAACGCGTCGAGGAGTTGAACTCGGGACTACCGAAGACAAATCCAGATAGCGGTAGGGTGGACGATTTGAACCAAGAACCTCCAGATTTCAAATCCAGCGCCATAAACCACTCGGCCACGCCGCCTCCACTGACTCCAGCTATTCCAATTTCCTGTTTAAGATTCAAGTTTGGAAATTAATGACAAGAAGATTAACCTGTGTACTCTTTGATATCTTCAAGAGCATCGGCCAGATCCGAGTCAATTTCCAATATTGTGTCTGTAGCCTTAGCAATCTGCAATATAGTAATAGTAAACAATAATCAACAACTGAACACAGCCAGTCACTCTCACAAATCTCACTGAATTACAGGTGTTTATGACAAAATCTTTATGGCACCAGCATTGTCTGGCATATTCTGTTCTGCAAATAAGTCAACTAAGTTTAAGTAAAACCTCGAGTTTTTGCAACAGAAAAGTAATTTACAATTTTTGTAACAGCGGCAACCAATAATTTTTTTTCCCTACAGAAAGGCTACATTGCATTTTCAAAGGAAGCTAGTATATTGCTTAAAACTAAAGCAGAAATTTCAAGTGAACCGTTGAGACAGCGAAAAGGTCATCGTCATAAGTGCATCTCAGTTTATCCTCCAATAATTACGGCGAGTCAAGCGTTCCATATACATGTAGCTACCACGGATAGCAAAAATCTGATCCTTCAAATTTAGCCGCCAAGTATATGCTCATCTAACAGAAACACAATGATCAAATTACAAAATCACATTCCAACATACTTTTGAAAACACTCTCCCTTACATAAACGAGAATAATCAGCGATACCTGAAGATCTTTTTGCTTTGATCCTTTAACAACAACGCTGTTCTCCAATAAATGAAGAATTCTGTGAAGTCTGAAAGGAACAAAATACAAGAGTTAGTACTCTGCGAGAATATCTATTACAAAGCACTCTGCTTGGTCCTAGGCCTTAAGATGATACAAGATGATGCCTCTCGAAGAATCATAATAAATTAATATCTAAGACAATTGTTCGTTTACTATCTTCCACTCAAATGTGACAATGGTAACTCAATCAGAAGACTTTCCTTCAAGCTTACACAAATATCACAGTTACGTTCATAAGCAAATTTCAACCTGTCTCTCTTGTTTGACAGCTCGCATATCCTCTCCTCCAGTCTTTTTCTCTCGTCCAAGCCCTCGACTTCCAAACTGATCACAGGTGGGTCAGGTGACACAGCAGCACGTGTTCTGATTGGCTCAGAGTTAACGGACTTGCAGCCTACTGGCGTTAGCTCCACTTGTAGCACGACCCAATAATACGAGTCGGGAGAGACGTTCATAAGTTTGTCCTCTTCAATGTTTGATGGCAATAGACCATGCTGTATCGATTGAGCATCGGTTATAATATCTTGACTTGTTACCATGTTACCTTTGTCTTCTTGATAATAGACCTACAATAAACATTCAACATGTCGAGAAAGTCCTCAACTCGTAAATAACAACTTTGACATTAGCATTAATGACTTCAGTCGACTTAAGAATGATGCCTGATGCATCGAAAAGTCGATTGACAATACGTTTAATCTTTCTTGTCAAATGCTTTAACAAGCAACTCCTTACTCGACTACAAAATAATCATCTCAATCCAAACTGGAGGGAGAGAGCAAGTTGCAGTGGTGTCCAAGATGGTACTAAAATTAAAAAAGAATAAACTAAGAAAAAAAGTGAAGGAATAACACGTTCAGATTTGCACCCTGACAAGCTGGTGATTAGTAAAACTTTAAAACACTCATCATAATGATATCTGACATGCAAGCAATCTACTCTGGGATCATTGACTACATACAGCTAAGTCACCTTGTAACTGTCCACCTTTGCTCCACCCTTAAGCAATGGTGTTTTCCATCCAACTCTGATACAGTTGACTTGCTGAGACGGGATCCTGGTGATCAGCGGTTTCTCTGCACCAGGACACGTGACGACTAATGGATCAGACCAGTCGCTATCGCACGCAACTTTGGTGCTGAAGGCCTGGGGAGAAATCATTTGTTACAATCTGCGAAAGAGGTAACCTTTACTAATTCAGACCGGCTGCTGTGTTAATTACTTTTTGCAAATAAACTGGGAAAGGAACGACGGGGAGGGTGGGGGAGGGCGTTGGGGGAAGGAATGAAGGGGAATATCTAACCAGAGAATCAGCCATTACAATGACGCTTGACGTACTTTGAGGAGAAACGTGTACTGCTCGCAAGGCTGACAGTCTGTTAACTTGTAGTGATTACACTCGACATCCAGCTCTGTCTCTGCTTCGCCATTCACCTACAAAAAAAGAAATCCCCCTAAGTTCTATACTCAATCTTTTAGAAGTGAATCACCTCCCTCTAATACATCCTTCTCAATTATACCATAGCACGCGCGCTGGTCCTATCTAATTCCCATTTTAGCCATCATGGTAACAGTATCTATTTACCACGGCCGTGCGTAAAAAAACACGACTTGTGCAGTTTTATTTTAGCGACAAGATTTCCGTCGAGTTTAGCTGCGAGTTCACTTCCAGCGTACGCTAGTCCTACTTAATTCCTATTAGGGAGTTTAAGAAAACCACGACGGCTACGGCAACGGCAACGGGAACGTCGCTAAACAAAAAGTTTAATGAGCAGAACAATGGCTGTGCACGTGCATTATAATTCTTGGTACATTTCTTTGCCGTTCTCTGCAAAACAACAACGTGAAATGACCAAATTATGCGTTGTCCAGAGAACGTGAACCACGAGGGCTAATTTTTTATTTTTATTTAAAATGTTTCGCCCTTTCCCAGGTTCAGTTTCGTGATAGTTTTGACTCTGAGAAAAAAAGGAAAATGACTTTAGAGTATCGCGAGATTCGTAGGTAAAATACATAATCATTTTTTAATCGACGTTGTCCTCGGCGTCGCGTTCTGGTTTCTTGAACTCCATATTGAGCCATCATGGACGTCGATCATGGACGAAATCTCTATATACGCGAAGCCGTGCGTATATGACATGACGTGTGCAGTTTCAATTTAGACGCAAAATTTCCGTCGAGTTTAGTGCAAGTCCCTCTTGTTAAAGTGTCGGCAATGTGAACATCACTCCGAACAAACCAAACCCTGCTTCGAGCCTTTAACTTTTGCCAAGCTAAGACGTTCACTAAAACTTGAGTATTTTGACTTTTGCTTACATTTTCACTGAGTATTTTTGACTCTGCTTGCCTACGTAAGCGAATTTTTCATTGACAGTGTTAGAAACCAGATGAAGTGCTTTCGTTAAGCCGTCGCTTAACTGACTGTGGCGTGTTTTTATCCAGGTAATGCAATAGGATTCTTTGTTTTCCTTCACCGTGCAATGTGAGAACTTTGTGAGAACTTTGTGAGAACATGTTTTAGCGCCCAAGTTGTTGTCGCTATGATACAAAAGAATTGGTTCATACTTTTAACTGTGCATATATCGAGTTATGGATGCACTTGGGAAGTTTGGAGAGCACTCAAGAAGCTAGAGTTGCTCTTACGCTTCTCTCGTGCTCTCCAAACTTTCCGCGTGCATCCATAACTCGATATATGCACAGTTAAAAGTATGAACCAATTCTTTATTACCATATGTTTAAAATAAACTTGCAACAACACTGATACACAGAAGAGTTCCTGCAACAATAAAACACGGCAGAAAAAAAAGAGGAACAGCCTTCAAATTTAGCAGAACGTCAGTCATATTCCAAAAACAGTTCTCTGACAAAGAATATATCAGAACCTACCATAAGCTGGTAGTAATCAATCCCAGCATCGCCAAACGTCGTTGGTTTCCGCCATTCAATCGTTATACCAGATTGAAGGCAGGCCCTATCACAAACAAAATACTAACATAAGCACTTCAGGAGGGAAAGTCAAAGAAGCCTACAGCTTGTGCTCCAACGGGTTCCTGAGAATGGTTTGCAAATGCATTGTAGCATGGAAACTTTCTTCTCTTTTCACTTTTAATTCGTAAAGGAAATCGCCTAGATTTGTGAATTACAGTACAGCTGACATAGATAATGCAGGGCAATAAAATAGAAGAGGGAATTCAAGCCCTTAAAATGTAAATAAATATAAAGATTGTTTTCACAGCACAGAGCTGGACAGACGTACCTGAGCTGCAAGGCAGGCTGTGTAACTGGTGCAGATGTCTGTACCGTATACTGTTGTGACCTGGCGACCAGACCCCCAGCCGCATTAACGGCTGCAACTACCACAAAGTGACTAGTGCCAGGTGAACAGTCATCAATCACGTGACAGGTCTGGATCAATGGTAATGTTAGTTCTTGGACCTAACGTAGAAGAAAAAGAACCAAGTAATTCACCAAAAGGAAAGGGAAGGAGCATATCAACATTCACAAGGCGGAATAAAAGTACACACATACATTTACAAGGTTCTTATAAACGAAGAACGCAAACAGTGCTCTTAGCCCTGACAACAAAAGTGGTGCAAATAAACAAGAGCGCGTGAAAATAGAGGTTTTAAAGTGGTGCAGATTAACTGCAGACGGCATTTAAGATCACATAATACTGGTGACATTGTGATCTAAGACAAATAACACCTGTGCATTCTAACCTGAGGTCGGAGAACTGAGCTCCGTTTGATGAGGTAATGGTCAGCGGTATCTACTGGAAATAAAACCCTAAATTCAGTGTAAGACTATAATAGTATAAATGTACGTTCAATGCACGGAAGTTTTGTGATCCCAGCAACAGATGAAAATTGCACGCAAGGACACTATCACAACCAATGTGACAGTCAAGGGTTATGATACTGAAATGACGTGACAGTCCCAAATGTACATTCGACGCTCGTCGGCTGTCACTGTTTAGCACTGTTGGGTAACCTGTGCCTGTATAGCATCTTGAACTCACATTAACCGAGGCTTCACTGACGCCGGCTCAGAAAAATACATGTTGGCGTTTGTGCAAGCTCTAAGTGTTTGACAACAAGTGCCGAATTTTCACTTAGGTTTTTTTCTCTCTTTCCTTACCTATTTCTGCCGGATGGGTCCATTCAATTGAGATGCTGGTATTTGAAGTTGATAGCACATTCACGGTGACATCAAAAGGAGGTCGTATGATCCCCCCGGACGGTCTTCGTCCCATGGTGCTGTCTTGGACCACTGGTGTGTACAACGTCAGTAAATTAGACGGGGGGGAATCGCCATGCTGGGGATCTGAACCCAGCGCCACAACGTATATTCGGTACACACTGGAAACAAAGAAGTCAAGAACATTAGGATCTGATAATTGCTTAAGTCTCCCTACCTATCGAACTACAAAACAGTAATCACGGTAAAAAAAAAAAAATAATAATAATAATAATAATAATAATAATAATAATAATAATAATAAAATAATAATAACAACAACAACAACAACAACAACAACAACAACAACAATGATAATAATAACCTTTATTAACCCTTGGCAGACTTTATAGCACAAAGGCAAGCGGGGCCGAGCAAATAACTGAAACAAATTCAACGTAACATTGTTAAGGATCCCAACTGGCTGGAGGCAAACCAGTTAGCTATTTACGAGCGTGGCCGAGGATTTGAATTCGGGATCACCGTGAAATAACTCCAAAGCGGGACTCGAACCCGGGACCGCTGGACTGCGAGTCCGACGCGCTGACCACTCGGCCACGCTGCCTCCAGTAATCAGTACTCAGTAATCAGCGAGTGTTATAAACTGCAAGAAAGACCGCGCACTACGCCATGATGTAAAATGAATTAACAGAAAAGGATATCGAAAACTGAGATTAACTACAAATGGTTTGGTCCGGGTTCTGCAAACAACAGCGGCTTAATCAGGATCGCAAAAAGCGATTTATCATACACTGAACGATAGGAGATCACATCAAAACAACACGGAAACACAAAACACAAAGCACAAAACAGGTGTTTCAACAGAGCTGGTGATTAAAGAGTTCCGGTCAACAGGACGGCCTGACTCGTATTCTCAAAATGTTTGCTAACATAACTGATAAGGTAACCTTTTAAATGTTCAAACAAACTTAACATGCAGAAATGACAGACACAAGAAGCCGAATATGTGGACCGACCGACAGTGTTAAGTTGGTAACAGGTAGACTAAAATACGTATGTTTAGTAAAGCCAAAATGGAAATTTAAAACAGAAATGTACACAGACGAACAAAATCATACAACAAAAATATAGCGACTCCACTTGATGACAAACGCTTACTGACTAACCGTTACAAAGGAAGGAATGCAGAGGATGAGAAAAGCCTTATATGTGAAAAACCGTCCATAAACCAGAAATACATCAGCGAAGGTCGCTTTGGAAGCCGAAGATCTTGTTCCAGTAATCAAATGCGGACTATCATCATATTCTCAAGAGACGAAATTAACACAAAACAACACCATAAACACTTCGACTTGTTGTCAAAGCAACGACAAAAGACAATTCTGCTTCTTTTGAATTGAAGCCCCCCGAGGTGAGAAATAATAGTGTTAAAGATCAAAGAAAGACCAAAAGTTAATTTAAAAAGCCGACTTTCAATATCGCAATTCCAGATGATATAATCCAAGGTTTAAAACGTGATGTAAATACTGTCACATGCGAAGCAGAATTTTCTTCAGTTCTAGAACATGTTGTTACATTGATGATTTGTTTTTTTTTATTCTCGCACCTTTCTGCTCCACAGCATAACACAATATTGTAAGATGAAATCGGTCACATGTATTCCATCGACACGCGTTTGATAAGCATGTGTTTTTACCTAGCGCAAGGTCCGTATTGGAAGAAATTCGCCCGAGGTTTAACACAACAGGTTGAGCGAAGCTCAAGCGAGATCCTACATGGCGTAGAATGCCTATTGTTCTCGGGACATTTACTTACAGTTCGAAAAAGTGTATAGGTATGTCATGACGCTTATTAATATTCATCGATGCTCCGAACGAGCTGTTTTCATTGGTTGCTATGAATGCGCGACAATACTCATTACCTCATGATGAGGCGGTAAACTAAACAATGAACTCTCCGCCTATTGTTTCTTTCTTTGTTTCAATGAACTCAACGTGCTTTTGTTATTTAAATATCGAATCAACTCACCGCACGCGTGTGTTTTTTGTTCGTTTCGCAAAAGTTAAACATCCACGCATTAACTCATTTTCGCGTAATGGATTTGCACTTGCTTTAAGGAGGTTTCGTTGTGTGGAATTTGTAACACTGGAATCAAAGCTCGCTTCATTTATCTTCATTGTGTCTGCGCGAGCAAGACAATTGTGTCGTAAATAAAACAATTCTTTCACTCTGTGCAGTTTGCGCGCGGAAGCGAAAACGAGCTATAAACGGAAAGACTTTTAATCCGTATTCACCCAGCACGGCAAGTAAAATTGGTTAATACGATACTGTTGCATGACGTAACGTATGAAAAAGACCTCTGGATGATCTACCTGGTCCAATAGTTGAAGAAAATACCAGCAATAGAGAATTCTAATACCCATTGTTACTGGTTGTTTTCAATTATTGGCCACCAGCTCTGTTACTCCCTGGAGTAGGGTCCAATAATCGATAAATCCAGCTCGACTAAAACATTCCCGTACTTGCCTTGATATTAATTGAGGGTTTGCATAAGAATCTCGGCAACGTGAAATTCTTTTTTTCATATAATTTCTGCCGTTTAAACTCTTCTAGAATTTTACCACATTCCTTGTTGTGGACTTATGGATCCTACCTGGATGATTGGCAGTGAATGTTGACTCTTCTTTGTCTGCGGTCTATTATTTTCTCTAAACGACGTTCATTGAGATAAACCTACAAGAAAAAAAAAATCATTTTAAGCTAAGTATGATCCCCTTCTTGCCGTTCGTCAAAGCGTCAAACAACGCTAGAGAGAGATTGCGTGATGGCCCAAGTAACAGACAAGACAACGTTAAGCAAACTCACCTGGTAACCCCGGATGGTGACATTCCCGTATGTAACAGGCTCATTCCACTCAATAGTGATCTGATATGAAGACATAGTTCGGCACCAGATCCACGGAGAAGACGGAGGGCCCGGGGTCTAACAAGGATTGGATATAAATTTAAGAAAGTATAATGAAGGACTGCTACTCGTGTTTTTACATTATTTCTAGCTCACACAAAGTTCCACGCGTTTTAATAATAACTCGACAGAAACCTAGTAAACAATACGAGAAAAGGAAAATCACTCGTCTACTTTGATTATCAAAGTATCTTTTAGCACGTACCTTCTTATAGGGTGTTTAATAGTGCTTTCATAGATGTGCTGCTTTTAGAAAGTTTTATTATACTGAAGCTAAGCGTAGATCTAACAACTATCTCTAAGCGCGTTTCTTAGAAAAAGGATATCATAAAGATGGGGTGCGGATAAAGAGGATTGATTGGCACATTACCTGGCAATGGACTGGTCCAAACACTGTTACAGCTTCTTCTCTCATGTCAAGTATTTCCAGATAAAAAGTGTACAAAGCACTGATAGGCAAGTAAGAACAAATCAGCATTTACTCGGTAGGTTTATACTTACTTAACTGTACGATTTAGGTAAGACAAAGAAATCAATTATGAAGAATGTGGAATGAGTCTATAAGGCAGTAAATGAACGCCGCTTTCCAGATACATGCAGCCATTATAACTTCCGTAGAACTTTTCAAAGTTATATGGGGAGGTACGGGTGGGAAGGGAGTGGAATATGAACTAAATAGATTNGGGGGGGGCAGAGTGGGAACGGTAAAAAGAACATTTAGTAATTGTACATAAAAGGTTTAATTGTATGATTTTTTATAACATCTTCTTGAATTGACTGTAATAATAGTAGGTTACAGTATTTCTTTTATTTTATTTTAGTGCATGTCCCCATAAGCTGTGTTGCAATTAGGAGGATGTGTCGACGCCTGTGTGTAGCTGTCTGGCATCCCTTCATTAGTATGTTATACTGAACGATGATTGACCTTTAGTCGATATTTACCTGAATGACACAGACCATATTTCGTACCCACTTGCATCGCCAGATAAAAACACTTCGCTCCTGTCCTGCTGTTTGCTGTTGTACCAAACCAGTCTGTATCCACTCACATCATCCGCCAGTTCAGTCATCTTCCACCGAACTTCCAATCCACCCTCCTCCTCGCCACTCTCACTACACGGGCTGTCCCCCAACGAGCCTGCGGGTTTGTTTTCACAGTAATTCACGCTCAAAGATACACCCCAGTCCTGACGCGGTAAGGTCACTTCGACGGGATCTGAGGCCGACTCTTCAAAACAGTCTGACAGCGGGTTGCTGTCTTCATCGGTGTCCGTGTCGCTCACAAACGCATCCAAAGTTTCGCTCTGAGAAGAAAATACATGAAATAACGAAAACTAACCTTAACCCTAACCAATTTTATTCTACATATTTACAAGACAAGAACAAAAAAAAAAATAGCATGAAAAGAACTAACTTAATTAGAAATGAAGAAAACAATCGACTCTTACAGAGCCAGGGAAAATATCAAACCTGCAGTTGTTCTTACCTTTCTTTGATGGCCGTCTGATTTCTCTGGACAGGTCATTACTACAACTACGCAAGTGTATTTCATACCAGACTTGCATTTCTTTAGCGTGATGTCAGTTTTGCTGGCAGCCAATCTTGCGTACACACGTCCATTCACCTCCACGCGAAAACCTTTCAAATGACGAATGCGGCCACGCGCGGGGTCTTCACCAACAGTGCTCAGCGAAACCACGACTGCGTCACACATAAACACTTGAGTTATTTACATAGTAACGCTACACCTGTGTCACGCCATTCTGCTATGACTGCGGCGATGACGAGTACCGTAAATCCTCGAATTAGCGCCCCCTTCGAATAAGCGCCCCTCCTATCGGCCAAAATCTGAAATAAGCGCCTCCCCGCGAATAAGCGCCCCCCTCACCTTCGCCCATTTTGTGGACGAGTACTGAGCCAACGAAGGATGTATAGTTTTCGTCGTGTAGTATTAGATTTGTACATTGTTTCAGTTTGAGTACACGTTAAGTGAACACGTTGAACACGTCAAGTACTAACGATGCGGCGATTTAAACTTAAGAATCAGCTTTTTATGTCCATAAACAGCCTATGTTGTTATTTACACGCATATGATGTATTAAAAAATGATCATGTCAGGCTACGATTTGGGAAAAATTAAAAAAGCACCCCCCCTCGATTAAGCGCCCCCTCGAATAAGCGCCCCCAGATCTTCTCCTAAATTTGAAATAAGCGCCCCGGGCGTTAATTCGAGGATTTACGGTACACTGAATATCTGACAATTAGGCTTCATAAGCGGGTGACTAATGTTTATTGGGTGAAATTAGCAACTGAAGCTGAACACTTTTGGGAAGCTTACAGTAATCAATAACCTGGCTGAATAAACTAACTGTAATTCAAGTTAACACAAATATAGTAAGGCAACTGTTTATCAGCTCAATCATTAGACCATCTATACTATTCCTCTGAGGCACATAGTGGTGTCTACTATTTTTTAACATCATTAATAAAACTTAATGAGGTCGTTGTACCATAATTCTCTGTAATATATCTCTACTCAAGACTACAAAACTGTTCAACAATCAAACTTTCTTACCGGGCTCAAGAACCAGCGGTCGATTCCATGACAGTTCAATCTGCGTAGCGGTGAATCCTCTGACCAGCAGAACTGGTGGCTCAGGCGGTACAGCAGTACAAACTAACAGGGGTCCTGAGAGGTGCATTTGTCGGACTTCAGGCGGTTTTTCACTTGGAACACTGCTGATTGTTGAATTCGTGTCGCTGTCCTCGCTCTCAAAATCCTCGTCATACGAGTAGTCTGTCAGCCCTTCAACAGTTTGCAAAATGATTCTGTATACAATACCAGGTTCCAATCCACACAGCTCTGCATAACATCGCTCCGGTTCAACAATCAGTTCCTTCCCAGCCTCCTTTACCGGCCCCACTCTACCACGTGACCGCTTACGTAACTGTTTGTTTTGAACATAATGCACGACATAGTGTTGAACAGTTGACATACCATAAGCCACCGCGGGCTGCCATGTAATGACAAGTGAAGTCGGCGTACGCGATTCTAAGTTCAATTTGTCTGCAGGCTCAACACCGTTTGTCCACGCAGAGAAACGCGCAATAGAACCAGCTATCACCTCGCTCATTTCTAACAATTCTTCTTCCGTTAAAACCTTTAGAGTGAATATGTATTCCGTCCTCGAAGCTAAACAATCAAAATTGAAAACGCTTGTGCCAGGCGATACTTGAACATCTGTACCTTTGTCAGTGACGTTTTCATCTTTTTTTCTAGTGTTAAGTTGAATCATGATGGCAGATACACCATGTTCTTCAGGAGGCTCCCATGCTAGCTTGATGCTTTGCTCTGTGGCAGAAACAACATAAATGTTTCTCGGGGGGCCTGGTGCAAGGCCTGTCTTGAATGACGTGGACTGGGATTGAGTGCGGTTGATTGGCTGTTCACTGGACTTGTCGTCATTGACGTGTGATGCGAAGCATTCTAGTACCACACAGTACTCAATCCCGGGTGCAAGGTCTTTAATTCTGAAAGGTTTCTCTGTTGAAAGACAAACAGCATTGTTTAATCAATGAGAAGACATGCCTGATATATAATGCGGTATAACGTCTAGCTACATTTCTTCAACATGGACATAAAACTAGCATTTACTAATGGTGACTCTTATTGGTCAGATACACGTGAACAGCAGATGCTTCACATGCAGATCACTACTCATGCGTTATCGCAAAATGTTTGGCCGGCGGAGATCTGCAATTTGAACTATTTTAATCAATGGTTGGTTGCAAGTTGAACTATTATAATCAATGGTTTGTTGTTTAGCAGATCAGTGACAGATTCTAATTAACCCAGTCTTTACCTCTGACAATGTGTTTAACAGCAGACCCTCGCTGTTCTGTTGCTTTCCAACATGATAGACTAAGAATTTCCGGCTCAATACAGCGATCAGCGGTATCATCTAAGGACCATGTGATCAGAGCAGACCGACAACCTACGTTAATCACTTCAAAAGAAGAAACTTTCTTCACAAAGTTGGAAAACTGGATCACTAACGGCGGCCCTACTGAGCGGGAAAACTGCTTGGTTGAATCGGTTGACCGCTTGGACAGAAAGCTTGAGCTGCTTTCCACTCCACTGTCGGGTGGCTCGTATGAAGGAGGGAAACAACGCGATTTATTGCCCTCCTGGTTAACAACATCTGATATTGGAACACCAAGGTCACCAGTCACAGCAGCCAACTGAACGCGAATAACATCTCCTGGATTAAAACCTGTCAGCTTTGTTTCCTGCTGTTCCGGGGAGAGCAGTTCTCCTGACCATTTGCCGTTTACGTGAAGAATGTAACCCTTAGAACGAAAACAGACAACAATAATTCAGCACTACGATAACAAAGAAATGAATCTGACAAGTAAGAGATTGTTACTAAATTGGCCAATAATAATAGAAGTTGACTCTGGCGGGCACTTACGCGGGCGCGCGATTAAAAGTCAAAAAGAGATGACGCCAATACGCACGAATGGTGACCAGTCTCCGTCGGCCACAAAACGACATAAATTTGTGAGCATTCATTGGAATGAAGTTATTTGCGCTCCATAACATACCGCTAAGGTGACTCCACCGAATTCACGTGACCTGTTCCAAGACAAAGTGACCCCTGATTGGTCAATCCCAGAAATTCGAATATTGGGCGGAGACGGCGGCCCTGCACAGTACAGGTCTAAAACGTTTGAGCTGGTGCCATAGCAACCACACACATACACCGTACTATCAACGCCACTGTCAGTCTCTCGAGGATTCAAATATGATTTAACGCACACTCTGTACTTCCGGCCAAACGCGCAGTTTGGAACAGTGTAAGTGTGCTCATCCTCGAATATGTCAGTCAAACCGGCCAGCAGGCATTCCCCATAGAGCGTGTCGTCCACGAATACATTGTAGCTGTAGTACGCATGCGGCGTAGTGTTATCAGCGCTCGCTGGCTCCTCATGTTTCCAGGCGATTGATATAGATCCCGCTGTTGTAGATTCTCTGGGGTAGATTTGTGGTGATGTGGGAGGGATCGGACAGTATACAACGACGGTATTGGATGGTTTGCTGTCACCCACACTGTGTCCAGTAAGGGCTAACAAACTGAAGCTGTAATGTTTTCCTGTTGAACAAAAAAGGCGTGTTTGACTTACATTGATAACAATTTTATCCAGCTTCTACTAGTTTAAAATATTGCAGCTTATGAGAACATGAAACAACTAATTTTTCCTCTTAGTCAGTTTTGTTCTATGCTTTTCTTTTGGGAAAATCCGTGATAGTAATCCCACGAGAAAACCTGGTTTTTGGAAAATAGACAAACGACGACCTAACAAAACAAGAAATAGAAAATTCTAAACATTTAACTCGACCAGGCACCTCATCGTAACAACATGCAGGCTCAAAATATAACTCATCGCTTCAGCTCAGCGCTACTGAGCAGATGCTACATGCATAATTATGTATTTTTTCTCTTATCTACGATAAAATACTAGAGCACAGTTTTTTGCAACAAACCTTCCTCCAAAGCATTTAAACTCAGGCTAAGGGTCTCGCAGTCTAAATCATCCCGAAATGCCTTTCTGTCATTCAGTAGTCGATATCCCACTATAGTCGCCTCACCAAACGAGGCGGGCGGTTTCCAAGTCAAGGTAACCTGAAATACCAAGAAACAACAGAAATGGAGGCGATTAACTCTCACAGGATATTAGATTAAAAACACGCAGCAATAATTTTTCACGCTATTCAAAAGATTGTATTTTCTAGTCGCGGTCATCAACTTGTTTATCAGTAATAGGACACAATTTGCTCACAACTCAAAGCAATCGTGACATTTCTATAAAACTGTTTTGCAGAAGACGGCTACTAAAAGATATAACCCACGTGCAAAACAGATGAGCAGTTAATTGAACTTTTTATTCTTATAGCATCTTAGCGTCGACAACGTGTTCGCTTGAAACAACCAAACGCTAAAATCATTTAGCGATCCTACTACGAAGAAAATATCAATTAGAGACCTGCATAATGGTTGGTCAGAACTGCGTATTATTATTCAATCCAAATGAGAAAACACATTTTACAGGCTGAAGTAATTTTTTGAAATTTCAATGAGACTATACCTCTCTATCCTTGAGGTCTGTGACATGGATTAATGGCGGTTTTGGTGGCCCAGGCATCGTGAAGGAAATAACACTCGACAGGCAGTCATTAGCACAAGGCATCAACTGACCAAGAACTGCTAGTCTAAACAAACAAAAGACAAAAGATGGCAATGTCAAATGGCCGCTTGCGTTCTACTTTAACTTCCATTGGATAAATAACGCCGGCAGCACTAAACCTAACCTGTAACTACGGCGAGGCTTCAAGCCGGTTATCTCTATAACAGTGTTGGTGGTGCGCCATGAGTGTTGCTTCAAAGTTGTCTTGAAAATAACAATTAAAAAACTTGTTAGTAAGCTTGTTATCACGAGAAAAAGCAAGGGAGCTTATCGTCCGCAAGTTCTCCCAAGATGGCCAAGATCACACAGTATACGTGAGACGCTTTTGTAGAGCATTTTAAGATTACTTACATTTTGTTTTGGCCACATCGTCTTAGCTGGACTTTCCTCAAAGCTGAAACTAAAAGAACAAATATTGAAAGCCCAGGCTGACACTCCTGACATTATATTAATAGCACTCATGATGAAAACTTACCACAGACTGCTATTAATATTGCTGTGAAACTTGCTACCGAGTATCAACACTGAATACAGAACGTCAGCGCCAGCGATTTGCTCGGGCAGCAGTGACCACTCCCATTCCAGAGTTACGGTAGTAGGCGTGGTCCCTTTGATTACTAACAGGGGTCTGGGTAGCTGTTCAGATCCATCCTGCGGGAGGTCCTCAGGACTGGTGCCTAGTCCTAAATGACAGATACAACCATAATAAACAATGAGTGTCCTGAAGCCTAGCATGGGATTTTAAACGTTCATTGCATACTTTATTTCAAAAAGGTCGAGTTGTAGGCAGCACCAGGCTGATGTGGACCTTTATAACAATAATTATACTCTACTGGTAGAAACATCAATACGTTCACAAAAGATTCTATAAAATAAACGTAACGGGAAATGAAAACCGTGCAACATTTTGCTCAAAGAAAAGCTGTAGATCAAGGTGATAATCAGAGTGGAAGATTTCAATGCTTAACAACATACCCAGTTACAGAAGGAGACAGCACGATACAGAAGGAAGGAGACAGGAAAGATTGATAGACTCGCGGAAATCAACAAACCAAACCAGAGGGTGGTAACCTTTTCTAACTCAAGAAAGACGTCATCAGTTAACTGGAACATGTATTTAGATTACAGCTCATAATCAGGTCATTAACCATGAAAAAACGACAGATAGAAGAAAGTACCATTTAACGTCCACAAAGGCCATCTTATATAGCAGGAATGAAAGTGTTACGATGCCGCTAAAAGACATGGAATAAACTGAAAGAGAAGAAAGAACAGCGAATTGATGCAAAACTGGAATGAGGCATTAGCTTAAAAAGTAGCTGTTGTGATGCTTCAGTGGCCACGTAAAAACAGTTTGCTATCAAATTGGAGTTCGAAAGAAGGCGTGTTAGACGTTGTGGTTAACAGGGTGTTCATGCTAAAAAGAAATGCACAAGCCAAAGCAGCGTTAAAGAACTTCGATAACAGGAAATTGTGAGAGGTAGATGAGAATCACTATGCCTCGCAAAGAATCAACACTCGTAAGCCAAAGTACAGTTCAGTAGAAAGATTTTTGTCGTTGACAGAACATATCAGTCTTTCCCAGATACAAAACGACACCAGAAACACCAAATCTCACCTTGCAAACTGTCTCCTCCACAAGGTATTTCATCTTTTCTCTTCCTATAAGAGATTTCATGTTCCTTGTCAACTTGTTGTAAGCTGTCACTGTCCTCTACGTTACTACGTGACGACCAAACACCACCCTCGAAGGCTGCTTCTTCAAAAGTAGGCATATCTGTTGTTTCCATTTCATCTTTGTTATCATCGTCTTCATTCTTCACTGATCCAAGGTTGCTTGACGCTGACCAAGTATCTTTCGGCACTTCATTGCACGTCTGTTTGTCTCCTTTAGCAGTTGGTTTTGGCTCATTGGTGACATCATCAGTGCTACGTACTTGATCAGACGTGAAATGTTCAGATCTTAGCTCCTCTTTGGCCATTGATTGGTTCTCACCGCCATTGACATTCTCATCAATTGTGCTGTTCTCTCTGAACCCTTTGACGTTTCGATCCTCGTCTTCGTCTTCTTCTTTAGGCAGTGAGATGCCTTGGTTTTCCACCATTGAAATATTGCTGGGTGGCTCTTGTAGCAGTTCGTCAGCTCCTGTAAGGATCTTTTCGAGCGGCTGATCGTTTTCTAATCCTCTTTCAACTTCCTCGTCTAACTGATTCACTTTCACCACCTTCAATTCAGAATCATCACCTATGTTGTAGCATTCTTCTTTGTATTCTCTGCATTCTTTAGGTTCTTCTGCATCTGTTGCTCTTACATTGAGCTTGGCATTTTCTTCGCTTTCCTTTTGCCATGTTTCACTGATCTCCGCATTTACCGCACATGTATCATCATCAACCCCACCATTATTCCCTGGGTTTGAAGCCTCTTGTACGTCTGAATCACTGTTGTTTTTGTCAGGAGAATTATTTTCTTTTGCATTTCTTTTACTAATCAGTTCACTATTCAGTCCATCGTCATTTGTGTCCAAACCTACATCATTGCCTCTTGGTTGGCTCTCGTGACTATTGTCAGTGTCAGCAGCTTGCTCAAGGCCTTCAGAATAACCATATTCTTGTTCATCATGTTCTTTTCTTGTGTCAGTGTCATGCGTTTTAATGTCCTGATGTTCTTGAAAATTTGAAGAGTGCTTGCTTTCCTGGTATTCGGCATCATTGTCACATGATGCGTGACTTGGTGCGTGACCATTACCGTCAGTATGTTCGGCTGGAGTGACAGTTGCCTCCTTTGCTATTCCCTCTTCGTGTTGTTTTTCAACATGATCCAAGAAATCAGAGTCATTTTGCTCTGAAATCCTCTCCGTCCCAAACGTTTCTGCTTCATTGTCCAACTTTGATTCAATTCCTGTTTCATCATTTTCATTTGTTGCTTGATAAGTGACCCCGTTCTTGTCTGGCACTTCCTTGCTCGATCCATTCCCTTGATTTTCTTGCTGATCCAAACTGCCGTCATCGTTTCGCTCATTATCCAGAATCTCTTTATCTAAATCAGAGTGTTCACCCAAGCCTTCCTCACCAGCATCTCTACCAAGCAGTTGAGTCTCTATTTCTTCTGCTTCCGTCTCTTCTTTTAATGGTCCAAGATTTGCCTCTTTCACAGGAATATTTTCACCACGATCTCTAAAAATGGTTGCGTCCAGTTCAAACACAAGCTCGCTATCAGCATCATCCTGCAGCATTGTAGCATCATGTGATGTATCTTGGAGATCCACTTCATTCTCAACAACAGGAATATGCTCATCTACAACAATTGCATCTGTTTGTTCTTGCAAACCAGTCTGCTGCTCTGGTGGCTCAGCGTCTGTATCACCATTTTCTGTACTAGGAACGTTCTCCATATTTTCTGCATCAGCTTCAGCGACCATTATATCTAATTGCTGGTCTTCTGGAATTGTCTGCAGTTTGCTGGCCACTGATTTTAACGAAAGCTTTTCGATTCCTGACTGCTCAGTAACACTTGATTGCGGGATTACTCTCTCGGCAATTAACAGCAGCTCTCTTGCAGGTACATCACCATCTTCAAGGTCATGGCCTCCTGTGGAGTCCTCGTCACCTTTGGGTTTATGTAGGGCACTAAGAATTTCCTCTGGAACTGGTAGTGTGAATTCAACCTCATTGGAATACAGCAGAACATCTGATTCTGAAGCGAAAAACAATGAGTCACACAAACTTTAAAACATTGAACATCAAGAAATGGCGGAGGAGAGATTTCTTTTTCGGCGAGACATGTTTGCGAGAAAACTCCAGTGAAAATAAAGACACATTGCACGTAACTAATTCTGGGATTGCTTTTTTTTTTTTTTTTTTTTGGTTTTCTGAATATTTAATGTGAACAAAACAGTAGCATAATAACTGAATTGCTCTCAAGAAGATACTGACTACCATGGAAACAAAACGTCTTAAAATTTACGTCACGATAAATTACTCCAATATCCTTTTTCCTTAACGCGTAAGTTCATAGATTAGAATGCAACGTCTCCTTACAATATTGATACATCGTCAGGCAGACAGGTGACGAGAATAAAGAACATCATCATTCAATTAAAATTGTGTACTTAATATCTGACGCACACCAACAATGACTAGTGACTCAGCGGAACATTCAGGAACAGTCAAAATTGTGTGCTGTAAAACAACTTTAAGAAATTTTAAAGGATACGTCAAAAGGGAAAGCATTGATATTGCATATTAAAGCAGGCCGTTAGCAGCGTTATAGAGACACTGCATGACTGACTTACGATTCTTGAGTGTTGTGTCACCACATTTAAGGATGATATAAAACATACGCAGTTACCTGATAAATGAGAGGCCAAACACAGTGTATAAACGTCGTGTTGTAGATTGCTCTCAAACAGCACTCTGCAGTAATCACTGTCAGCTTGCGGTATGATCTGTCAGCAAGACAAGTAATCAGAAAAGGCCAAGCCAACGTTCTGTCGAAAACTGACCAGTATAACAGTGTACAGGCTTAAAAAAGAACGGTCAAACATCATCTGGTATACATTCATTCTACACATAAAAACACTCGCTTTTCACACTATTAATAACCGTATTTTTTTACCTGTTCTCCAAAGGGCTGCCCATTAATAAACACAGAATAAGCAGTGACTTCAGCGGGATAACCGTAGGCTGGCCATACAATCACAAGGGACTGGGGTGAGGGAGCGGCCTCCAAAGATACGAGTGGGCCCCCGGATGAAGCTTGTAAAGGGCAAGAGATTACCTGCAGATCAACAAGGCAATCAGCACGATCTTTACAAAGCCTGCAATACTTACAGCACATCCTGATGTGTTAACTCCAAATCATTTTATATTTTTTCCTTTGCGAAAAAAAGACAACCAAATATTTATAGAAGCTCAACACCGTTTTAATATCGCCTAGCTGTAGCGAGCTTGAAAGAGGATTTCTAGACATCATCACAGAAAAAAGCACCACCAGTTGATCTGTACATCTTCAAAACCTCTACAGTATAATTTTCAGTCGTTTCTTGTCAATCGGCATATCTTTTGTTCTAGGTCTAGGGAATTTTGTTTGTATACTTCATCTACTGTTTCGTTTCGCCAGTCATAAAGAGCCTCAATAAAGGAGTAGGTCGCCCCTTATATTTTCCACCTCAAGAAATAAGATACTGTGAACTACAGTAGTTTCAAATCAACTGTTAAGAACACATGTACATACCACTTCGTTAGAGAGCTGGGGTTCGAAAGAATCATGGGTAGCGAACACAACAAGCACCACGTGATAGACCTTTCCACCAATCAAACCGCTGACAACCAGGCTTCGGCAATGCGGGCTAAACCACCCTCCATACGGAGTGCCGTTCATGAAAAGCTGCAAATAAGCCAAGAAATACAAAACAGCTAAGTAAAAAAAAACCTTCTTCTACAAAGTACTAATTAACAATCACACAACGAGCCTGAGATGTCCACGAGTAAACAATCAGGTTCGCGGGATTCCACTAGAATAAAGCTGATTAGCTACTAACAAGCTATAGACGACTGCGAGGGCAGCACCCTTGGCAGCACTCATCTTGAGTTTTCAACATTAAATGACTGGCTCAGGGCAAGAATATTCCTTAATCTCCTGGGTGTATTACCAGGATACACAATTCACGGAAGAGAGATCATTGTACCTGAAAACCTTTGATCCATGTCAAATCAGCGGCGTTACCAAGAGTTACATCAATATTGTACGTGTTGTCACACACAAGCTCCATGGTGATGTTTGGTCTGCAACTCAACCAGTGCCACTTGAAAATCTGTTCAATTGAATGAAACAAGCACTCTAAAAGTTGTCACAAGCTCTTTCCACCATCAAGATAAGTACTGTTACTTCCTGAGAGCATTCCTTAGATTCGTTTTCTGGCCAGAGTTGTCAGATGCCCCCTCCNCCCCCCCCGTTTATACCACACACACAATAGAGACCACGATCACCTGCACATACATTGCTTACAACTTCAAATTTTACCTCTTCTTTCAGATCAACTTCTTCAGACCCAGTTTCCAAGTATTCCTCGTCTTCCTCATCGTCTGATACCTCTTGACCAAACTTGTCGCCCTCAGCGACCCAAAACCGTCTGAAAAATGAGCAATCTTATTACAATCTATGCCTTACGACAGTACTACATCCTGAAATGCCACTCTTCACAAGTTTTCTTCACTAACCAGCGACAAGCTCTCCTGCTTCTTCTCTTGGGGATGGGGGTGGGGAGGGGGGGTGGGGGTGGTGTGTTAAACGGACAATGAAAATGAACTTCTCTATTCTTGTCAGATGCCCNCCCCCCCCCGTCCGTCTGATTAATACGTAAGGAGAAATGATGTTGATCAGCCATTTATAGTACTTACTTGGAAGTGTAAACCGGGCTTGTTACCCAGCCGTTTTTCTTGGCAATAGCTCTGATAACAGTGAATCCTGCTTTAGTCAGGACAATTCCTGTCTTCTTCTTGTAATGCTTTGGAAAGACATCACAATGAAAATTCCCTCAGCAATTATAGAGTACATATATAGTATCAAGTCTTCTGAATCTTAACATCAAGAGCACTCAGCACTCTCAATTTGGCATAACATGCACGTTTACTTTTAGAACTTCCACTGGGAAAATTTCTTTACAAGGCAAATTGATTCTGTCCAAACAGAGACACAACGACACAGCAAGTTACTCATATGCTAATATTTATATGTAGTCTTAATACCAACGAAAGTTAACAACAAACATGTTGACCAGTATTTAAGGTTAAGTGACTAGTTACCTTGTACTTACCAAAAGCTCCGCATTGCAGTCAGCAGGATAAGATCCGTCAGTTGTGTAAAATATCTCAGCATCCACTGTTGCACATTCTAAGAACACTCTATAGCCGCATTCGACCTTTGGGAAAGAAACACAAGAAAAAGTACTCAGAGGTAGCCAGCCTGAATTTCTTTCCATCAAAAGCCTTTGCTAAACTAAGTTACTAATTTAAATTAGTGAGGTACTTAAGAATTACCCGTTATACTCAAATTATATTATGTTTATTTTAACGTTCTAAGTAGCCAAACGCCAATCATTGTCGTCTCAGATTTATTTTTTTACCTTTTACACTCGAACTTAGGCATACTGTGCACAGAAGACGTGCAAATACTCACATGACCTCCGTTTCCTTCAGCAACAGATATTTTCGGAGGTGAGACATACGCAGCTAAAAGCAAGAAACAAACAAAACATGTAACGAAGTTTATTCAGCTTTAAAAAGAAGCCTCAAGACATGCATTAGTCACGGGCGTGTTTAAAACAGGAAATGCCACTACATCTAGCCTAAATAGTGCTCTGGTTAACCTAATTATAACTGACTCAACATTGGTTACCTCTCAGTAATTACTAACCCTTACAGACACTCGTATCTCACATTGACTCTTATCCGTAGTGCCATTTTGCCATTTCGTGTTTTAAAAACGCCCACCAGTAAAAACGAGTATATGTAAATGTAACCCTGATCCTTAACACACCCACCAGTCACAACCAGTACATCAACATGTAGCCCTGATCCTTGACTGCCGAAATGTGATACTCTTGGCTGTCTACATGGAAAAGACTTGTCATATTTTCTAACAAGGTACGAGTGTACATAACAATGTTATTTATTTATACTCTGCAATTATAGTCAAACCCAATTAGGACTCTTTAATTACCATTTTCTATGACATCAACTACACACAGCTGTGCGTCTGTTCCTTGTGATGTGATGAAATATCTCCCAGGAACATCAAACGTGTGAAAAAATGTGCTACGGGTTGTCGTGGGACCACTATCAAATGCAGAAAGACCTCGAACACGAGCAAGTGGCTGAAAGAAAGTAATGACGTGTTATTGGTTGAATAAGAATTGAATCAAAAGTAGGTTTAGAAATAAGTATTACCTGTTGATCTTGGGGCGGTCTTACATGAAGGATGTTATGTTCTTCGTCACCTTGGTTTTCCCACGACCACAGAATGCTCTGAGACTAAAGGAAGGAAGGAAACGAAATACAGCAACAACACATGATCAACTCCCCACAAAGATGATCTAAGCAAGTCTTTCATGTAGTTTTAAGTAAGGGAATCAAAATACTAAAACTATCACTTTTATTCTCTACTACCTGCGCTACAGACCGTTCTTTGTTCCACCAGGAACATAATGGCCTAAGTAACCTGCGCTACAGACCTTTCTTTGTTCCACCAGGAACATAACGGCCTAACTAACCTGCGCTACAGACCGTTCTTTGTTCCACCAGGAACATAATGGCCTAACTAACCTGCGCTACAGACCGTTCTTTGTTCCACCAGGAACACAATGGCCTAACTAACCTGCGCTACAGACCGTTCTTTGTTCCACCAGGAACATAATGGCCTAACTAACTTGCGCTACAGACCGTTCTTTGTTCCACCAGGAACATGATGGCCTAACTAACCTGCGCTACAGACCGTTCTTTGTTCCACCAGGAACATAATGGCCTAACTAACCTGCGCTACTGTAATAGTGGAGGGCTTAAATCCGTCAGCGGTAACTCCCACCATGCACGAGTAGGAGACTGGGTCTACCAGTACAGAGTGGATGAAGGAATCAGTTTCTTGGCTGTGGACCTGGAAAGAAAGTGAATTGTCAATCTAAGGGCTTATATGAGTTGATCTCGTCACCATTATCAATGACTATTCTATTATAAAGCAAAACTGATTGGCAAAAGTGTTACACAATGAAGACCAAACCTCGCTTTTATCTTTATGGTATGCTGTGCATAAAAAATTGTACATTCCAGCCTTGGGAAGTATTTGAGAATAACATCTAAAACCAAAAACAATACATGCATACAATTACTATCAAAACAATTTCAACATCTTTTTACGAAAAAAATTCAAAACACTGAGATCCTTTAATATCCTGCTAATATACATGTAAGCTCCTTTGTTAGATGCGTCATACCTCTTATAAGCATCTTCTGAGTTATGCACCACAGTATCCCCCACATCACCATCTGGCTCCAATATTTCTTGTATACTAAAGGACTCATCATCTAGCCACACCCAAGACACACAGTCATTTGCTGAAATCACCAGTGGATCGAGCTGGATTCCGTGGACAGCCACATGAATTTTGTGGACCTGAATTGATGATGCCACATGGACAGTTTAACCTACTGTTCTGTATATAGTATGTACCGATAAATAATCACTCTCACCTGAGACTCTGGGGTTACAACCACAGCACCAAAGACCTTGGGAAGGCCATTGCTAAGGAAAAAAGAAGAATCTTCAGTGACAAACAAAGTAAGTAACATAAACGTTTTGAATGTGTTAACAGTAGAAATGTATAGAACTTAGCCAATTACCATGAATGCTATCATGCTATGACAAAAAAAAAACTAATGCCTCAGTTTTTTTATTGGTCAATCCACCTATGCTAGGATTGTAGATCTATGTTCACCTAGACGATGAAGGTACATGTACCGCCATACCTTGCAAAATAAAATACACCAAACTCTGTAAACACATTTGTAAAGGCACTTGCTGAACAAGTGGGCTTTCCACTGTAAAATCCACCAGGGATTGGTATGTGCTGATGGGAAACCTAATACAAAAAGAAAAAACAATGCATAGTCATTTCTACCTACAGCTACAAAACCAAATACCTCAGGAAAACTGTACAAGTATCAGTCTTAGGCAAGTTCAGTACAAGTATCCTTCAAGTACTCAAAAAAATTAAAAGTATGACAGCTTCTTTTCGAGACAGCCTCCAAGGATTACAATTAAGACAGTTAAAGTGTGTCACGGCTAATCACCTGCACTATGTTATGACGTTTCTGTGTACCTTCCCATTGCCACCACACCCAGTCTCCAGGGTGTACATTCAAGATTCTTGGTGCGAAGCCCTGGTCATGAACTTTGATTGTACGATGCTGCAGGAGGGAAAATAACTTTGTGGCACACTCTTGATTATAAAATTTCACTAATTTTAAGCTTGTTCAAGGAGCACTGAGCTTTTCATGTCAATATTTATACATCCAGTGGTAGATTCACAAACTCATTGAGAAGATATCTGGATCCTGAATATTTTAATTTTGATTATCATTCTTACACTCTTTCAATGAAGAGGCTCCAGCGCACAGGCCACTGCAACACTTGCAGTGAACAAAGAAAAGTTTTAAAAACAAAATGTACATTGCCTCTAAAATGTCCATAAATGTCTATCATATTATTGATCCCAGCCATCTGCTGAAATAGCTTTTTTTCTGCCTGTTTCATGCACTGTTGGTTTCAGCATCAGATTCAAAAAATGAAGTTGTACATGTAGCTTGTCATCATGTGATCTGTTCTTTTGAATCCCCTGCTGATACCAATGGTGCATGAAACGGCCTGAAAAAAAAAACCAGATGTCTGTGATCAAGAGTATGTACATGTCTGAGCAGCAAATTAAGTGGCAGTTGCTACCTGTAGGTTTTGGGATGGTACAATCATCGAATGATACAAAACAAAGAATAGAAAAGAATACATGTTTCCAAATTACTGTTGTTTAAGTTACCTTTGCAGTTCTCTCCACCACAACAGAACAGCATTGAGACTGGGAAACTGTATCTCTGCTACCCTGAAGCACCAGACAGTAAGTAAACTCTCCTATCTCATGAAACTTGTGAGTTGCCACTCCCAACTGACTCATAATGCTCTCCAGGTCCATTACTTTTTTACATCCACAACCTAGAACATTCAGTGGTGAAAAATAAAAGCAATTACCACAGTGACAATCAAAAGATTTAGTTATGATACATTCTCAATCCAACAGATTTACATGTAGCATTCCTCTCAAACAAAAACAAAAACATAACAAAAAAAAAAAAAAAAAAAAAAAACTTACCAGATCTGAAAGATTTCCGTCTTACAGCCAAACCTTTAGCAGGTGTGCAGCAGCCCAGCTAAGTTAAACAAGAACAAACAGCTAATGGTTAAAGAAAATGCAGTTGCGATGTGTGGTTTCAGAAAATATCCATACTATTATTGGAAATCAAAGGAAAAGAGAGATCTCTAAAGCCAAAATTTTTGAAGGAAAGTATGGACCAAATCTAGAATTCATAGATAGAGAGGAATGGTATGATAAATTAACCACTGTACCCTGACAGTAGCAATTTTTAAAAACATCAATTGTACTTGTTTATTTTCAACTGATCTTATTTTAATCAAAAAGTAATTAAAAACTACCCCACAGTTCCATCTACGTCCCCTCCGAGCATCACCAATGCACCCTCATTCATCTAAATGTATAAATGCCTAAAATAATACTGAGAATATTGGGGCAATCTGACAAAATTCTTGAGAGTAATCTCTATGCATGTAATCCAGATAATAATATATAGATTTAGCCAAGCCTAAAAGAGGAGCTCCCGGGCCGGGTTGCTCAAAGCTCAATTAAGCTAATCCAGAATAAACGAAAATTTGATTTTAGTTTTGTAACTTTGTGGTGAGGTTTACTGCTTATATTGTTTGGCCCTGTTTTGAGTTTCAGTTATCTCAAACTACACAAAACAAAGCAGTGAAAAACATTAACAAGGTAACTTGACAGGAGCCCACAATCAAATCAAAAACCAGTGCTTGGTCAGTGGTCAACTTTAGAAAACACATGACCTCCATGAGCTCTAAACCTGAGCTAATTACCTCTTTCAGGATAAATGATTGCTCATGTTGTTGAGTCCACCAAACTCTCTCTCCTTCAAAAACTGTCCTGAGAGCTAACAAAAAACAATTAAAACAAATTAATAAGTAACAGATATAGAGCTCAACTGTCCAAGGTGTTTTAATACTTTGAAAATTATTGCTCACATGTCGTTTTCATAAACACTTATCTTGTTGATAAAGGTAAAGATAAAGCTCTGTGAACAACAACAGCAACAACAACATTAATTTTTAGTACGTTTCCGTTTTTGGTGAACCTTACATGGAGCAATGATCTCCATGAATCAGCAAATTACCAAATATGAAATCTGAACAAATCCTATTCACAGCATGAGTTTTGTGCTTTGTAATTTCACTACATACGTACATCTATGCTTGTTTGGAGTAGGTAGTAGTTTTACTGCTACATGTACGTAGTCCGAGCTGCATGTATTATTCCTTACCAGGTGTAAATTGGCCATCCATTATCTTGATGACATGCTCCCTTGGTTTGGGTTGTACCACAACACACCCACGTAACTGGGAGAGGTCAGCCATGTTGTAAACATAGTGATATAGGCCTTGCTCAGTAAACTGATGGCACACAAGCTCGGCAATTCTACAAGACGGAAAATAATGAGATGTGCAGGTACAAAAGATGCAAGCTTATTAATAAAAAATGCTTAATTATTATAAATCTGAAAAAAAATTAACCAACAACAACAACAACAACAACAACAACCTGGGAGTATCACTTTGTAAGGGACAGTATATACATGTAATCTCAATTCAATCATACACTAACATACAATGTACGTGTAAGGGGGGGGGGATTGTATAATAAAAGGGATTGTTTCATGGTTCATTGTGTGTAATTAATTAAATTAAAGTCCTTTTGTATGGAGTCTCTCAATAAACAAGGTCTAAAAGAACCCATCTGAAGAAAACCCTGGTACACCAGATTGCAAATGAAACAAGTTCAAGGTAATTACACAAACTGCATATACCTTGATGAGCCAGACAGTTTTGCTGTAACCTAAACGTACAATAAAGAAAATTATTAATATTCAAATAATTTTATTAATAATTGAATTAAAAATTATTTTCAATTAATACTTTCCAATATCATAGTTATATATTACAATATAGATAATATGAAACTTCATACCATAAAATTATAAAACAATTCAATATTCAATGGTACAAAGCCATTACAGAATTTATATAATTGAAACTGCAATATTTCTTACTAGAAACTAACACTCTTACCAAAGGGCTGGCCAGGGAATCTTTATAAATATATGCATCCACAATTTTGCTGCCATGAATCTAAGGAGAGAGTATTCAAAAGTTGGTGTTTGTTTTTGTTCTTTATCTGTTGGTTTGATCGATAGTTTATTTTATTTTTGTTACATAATATTAAAAACCCTTACCCTGCTCGACGAACACTCAAGCCAGATTCTATCTTGGACTCTAGCTGAGATCAAATTGGGATGCAGACCTTCCTCAGATGGATGAACTAGGAACTCCCTTAAATTTAACAATATGATAAATATTGATCCCAACTTAGTCATAATACCTCTGCAGATCTTATCACATTATACGGTGGAACTTCAGTTTAAAGAACCTCTATGGTTTGACTAACAATATTCTTCGCCCCAGTAGTGGTGGAATATAAATTAAGGACAAGAACGTCACAAGAACCTTGTTATATCAAACATATGTTGGCAGTCTCCTGGCCCTTTGTTACACATATACTGAGGTTCAATTTGAACTTGGCATGAATGACTGACTGCCTTGTGGCAGAAAAAAATAACTATGTACCTGCTTTTTAGCCTAGATCATCACCTCTAATACTAGACTGTTGATATGACAAGACTTTGATATTTATACCAGATTTTGACATTTTACATGTTGATGGCCAATTGTATATAATTGAGTAGCTGCCTTAAGTGACAGCATTTGACTACATAATATTGAGTATCTAATCCACAGAGAAGCTGTAATTATGCAGTCTACAAATTTGACAAATGTACCTGTCTGTTTGTGTAACCTTCACCAAACAGAAAGAGCTAGTTACGTCATCATCAGCCCAGTCAGCATCATAGTTTTCAAGGTGAAAGTAGTACAATCCTGTGTTCTGGAATGTCCTTTCACAGACTGATTTAACTTCGAGCCTGGAGGAAAAAGCCAAAAATGTTACATTTTTTCTCATCATTGTCAGCAATAATAATTATTTTGTCAGCAGCTACCAGTATATGTAAGTATGTTGTACAGTATAGTTGAAGCCTGGTCATTCAATTTGCATTTTGATCAGTTTACATACACTACAATCACAATGTGCTAGGCTCTACATGTAAAATATGCTAGTCTAAGGGCTCTAAGGTAAGTTAACCTCAAATTCACATGGCCTATTAGTTACAAAACACAAGGACGGGACAGCTGGTACTCTGTCGGTCTGTGATTGTATAAACCTTATTTCCCATATTAGGATTATAACCTGCTTATTTTGAGCACAATTTTCTACGAAGTGTTCTCTTTTTTTTTTTTTTTTTTTTTNGTTCTGTTTCCGTTCCACACGCGTTCCCGTTCCTGTTCTGTATCCGTTCCGTTCCCGTTCTGTATCCGTTCTGTGCTGTTCTGTTCCCGTTCTGTTGGCGTTCCATCAGTAAGTATTCTTGGAACTCGTTGAGAGGAATGAGGTTTCTGAGAACTCGTTTACAAGATTAGCGACACTCATTTGCATTTCATAAAATGGGTTTAAAATGTTGCCTTTATGCAAGAATATGGACAGGAAACTTAAATTTTCGTGAAACAATGAGTCCAGTTACTCGAAAAATATGGGAAGATGGTATTGTAACTTCAAGGCCAGTTTATAGTAAGTCTTTTTCTGGGTAATTCCTTTTTCCGAAACTATACAAAGCGACCGGCAATCTGTGTGATTGCCCAAGGAAAGGAAGAAGTAAACCAGCTTGTCAAGCACTTTTAACGCCATTGATGAAAAAATGCAACAAATACTTTTAGTAAAGATTTAACATTGAGGTATTGGCGAAAACTGTTCAGCGAATGCGGCAGAAACTTGGCTGAAGGACGCCAGCAGTTCAAAGTACTGACAAAAAGCCAAAGCGAGCACGTTGTGATACTTTTACTGACGGTATTTTCAAAGGCGAATTTTTAGTAAAGACTGAACGTTATCCTCACTGATCCTTCCGCAAAGTTGGCCAACAACACCGTAATAAAGGTCGACCAAGACATCGACGTTTTGTTTTGTTTCTCTTCATGAGGAAACCTTTCAATCCCAGTCTAACTTGACTCGTCCATCCATTTCCTTATGTGGACATAAGTTGAGCTTGTTGACAATAACAAAATGGCCATGATGAACACAAAATGGACAAGAAGATACAGGGAAGATGCTTGCTTAGTGCGTGTAAAAAGAAATAAAAAAAGACATAAGATGATTCGTTATGTCATTTTCTCAAGATCACCGGCTGGACAAAAATTGAACAAACGTGTATTTAAAGTTACATCGTTTCCAAATCCCTGGTAAGCACTCTGATAGTGTAACTTATGTACTACCATGTGTTCTGAAGAACGCGTTCTCTTACAGTTTGCGTTCTGGAGAACACTTTTTTCCATTTTTGTGATTCGTAACGGTTCCGTATCCGTTCCATTTCCGTTCAGTATCCGTTCTGTATCCGTTCTGTATCCATTCTGTACCCGTTCTGTACCCGTTCCATTCGCGTTCTGGTACCCATTCTGTATCCGTTCCGTTCCCGTTCGCAAACGCGTTCCCTGTTACGTTTCTTCTGATCGGTACTGTACATTGTACCTGATATTTAACCTTTTAGGAATTCACATCTCATTGTTGAGATAAAATTACCTTGACTTGGAAATAAATCCACTGTGCTTAAAACAATACCTGAAAATCAGTGAAATTGTTTGTAATTGACAATCAGTAAAATGCATAAAATAAATGATTGTTCCAGTGCATGTATTGAACATAACTGCTGTTTCTGCTCAAATTCAGTATATAAGACAGGCCTGGAGTATTGTCCCCACACACCCATCCTATGTAGTTTTGAACAACCACAACCAGCATCTAAAAAAAGTATAATTATATTAAATTATACGTACATAAGTGTATTATTTAAGACAGGTAATTAAAGAAAATTTTAGTTAGCAAGAGATCACTTAATAATAAGTTATTATAATTGCCCTTGTCATATCAGCTCAGTATATTATAAAAGACATTTTTGCCATGGAAAATGACTGGAAGGTATGTGTTAAATTAATTAAATGTGAAATATAATTTTAAAAAACCCTACGTTTTACAAAATTACCTACAAGCACTTCTATTTGTATCTTGTATAGCCATTCACATGTAATTTAACTGCATACAAGTGTCATTCATGCTAAAGGTAGCAGGCTGCATATAACAGGGGTGGCTAATGGTAAATGCAAGACTTTGCAAGAAAACGAGATTAGCATTTTTCTTTGCGAGCCCAAGACATTTTGATTTCTTCAATTGCGAGACCGAGACTTTAAAGTGTTTTGAATGCGAACTCAAGACGTTCAGGTTCTAAGATGTTGTGATGTCATTTAACTTTACTAAAAAATAATAAACAAATCGGCACTTCACGACTTTCTTCTTAGCCTTGAAAAAAATCGAGACTGCGAGACAGCTTTGTGAGAAAAATCGAGACTGTGAGATGCCATAACCGCTAAAAAACTAGACTGCGAGACCTGTGAAATTCGATGAAAATTTTGCGAGACCCATGGTTTTTAAAGGACCATTCACCACCCCTTACAACAATAATTCACATGAATGTAAAATAATTTAACTAGTTTTGTGCACTAGCAAAACACCTACTCCATTTCTTGCAGATAACAAGGTGTTTCAGCAACTCTGTTTTCACAGCTCCACTGGACAGTGTCACCTTCTTGAATGCTAAAAAACTGCTGCTCAAATCTTCCATGATTTACCTAGTAAATGACCATTTAATAACATGTTGTTTTGAAATGACATTCCTATATGGTCTGGTGCATGTACACAAGACTGTATAATTTGACAATAATTTCTAACTTACAATAATCTTGAGCTGCATGATAACTACATGTAAGTTGTTATCCAGTGGACAAACAGTTCTATAAAATTATTTCTGAACATACACTTCAAAAGTACAGTAACGTGCTAAGTTATATACACAGCCCTGTTGGCTTCCGCTTCCGGAAATAATACTCATACCCTCAGCCTGTGTTATTCTAGGCATTTGTGAGAAACTGATAATAAACAGCATGCTTAATTAAACAAATAAAGTTACAAAACTTAAAAAACTATCAATAGATAAGTTCAAATACTGAGCACTCTTGCAACACTCATTCAATAATCAGCAACTAAACTCACAAATGACTATATAAAGCCTTAATTTACTTTCTCAGTAAAATAATACCAGTTAACAAAAACAACCAATTGAAAGATACAGCTCAGAACTGACAAAGTAATGTCATAAGTGACTATCCACAATAGACTAATAGTGATCACTAAATGAAAATCTTTCAGCACTGCATATTATATTACATCCAGCTCCATTAACTAAAATACACTTTTTTCAAATATTTAAGTGCCCAGGGTGGTCACTTTTAAGAAATTCATGTGCAGAAATCCCGTATAGAATTAAAACTACATATTCAGTATACATGAAGGATAAAAAAAATGCAATGAAAATTCTTCAAGCACCTTGATTTTAGTGACTGGTTTCTCCAACACTTGTACTTTTAAAGTCTTGAGCTTGTCACTAAAAGATCCACTGCAACAATTGAAAATAATAAGTAAAATAATCTAGAGTATTTCTGTTTTGTTTTTATTGTGCACGTTGTTAAGTTTTTATTCTATTTCTTCAATTATGTCAATATTGTTACCCTTACATGTTAATGCTATTTTTTTTTAATGGTACAAATTCTTTAACTTAGACAATTTTTCCAGTTGTTGTTATAAATTGTACAAACCTCAAAAAGGTAAATTGGCCTTCCCTTCCCAAGCACACTTTAAAAGAACCAGAGCAAGCTAGACTGCCACTGTTATATCCACCAGGTACATGATCCAGCTCTGTACCACTCACCTGAGTATTAAATAATGATATAAATAAATTAGACAGAGTCTACTATATTGTTAGTGCGCACATGTTCTGCGCATCACACTCCACGCGTGCACTAGGGTTGACATTGACACACATGTAATCAACTATGCTACCAAGAACGCGACTAAAATGAAAGCAAAATTCTCCTACTGTGAAAATCAACTTTTTCCACAAAAACCATTGTATTTACTAAGCACCATCCTTAAAATAAATGTGAAAGCATGCGAGTTAATCAGCTAAATCTTCTCAGTAAAAAAACAAACAGCCAGCTTCAAGAAAACAAACTGAAATTCAGAAAAGGAATTATCTCAAAAATTGGCTTGTTATAATTATATAATATTCAATATCATACATATAACCAATTTTCAGCCCCTTAACAACCAGGGTTATACAACAAAGTACTTAAACCCAACAGTTTTAAAAACTGTCAATGTTCGCAACATTAAATTAATTAATATTATACCTGAATGATGTTGACACCTGAAGATGGTCTTTCTAAATTCCATTCAAACAGGATGCACTGAAAATTCCCAAGTCATAATTGTATCAAACAAAATCTTATGTATTTAGAATAAAGATTGGTGGGAAATAATTAGGCTGCATTCCTTTGGGGTGACCTGGATCAGTGAACTGAGATCCCCCAGACATTGTACAAGTCATAATGAATCTCTGACCAAAGTGAAAGAATCGATTCCTTTAATGTACCATCATCTGATTGTTCTTGAATCACTGATCATGATCCAGATCACCCCAAACTAACGTTCATTATTTATTAAGTTTGTGACATTTGCATAATTTGTAACGGTTTGAAAACAAACACATCCAAAACGCAATATAACTCAATTAATAAGTAATGATTTCAATCTGCCTGACTGAATAAATGTGCATTTGCTAAATAGCATATCCATTCGGCCTTAGCAACTTAAACATATCTTCCATGTTACGTTCATTCTGTGGCCCTAGATAAGATTAAATTAAGCCTACGCTGTGACTATAGTTGCTGTGTAGATGCGGAACTTACCTGTCCTTTATGTAGAACGAGTTTAGACGGGCAGAATCCCTCATCCGATACACGAACGACAATATCTTCTGCAAAACAAAATTAAAATAGAAAGAACGATTAATGTAAAGGGAATAAAAAGTGAACGCTGGGATAGAACACACTGTAGGACTTCATGATTTTACGCCCTTTTAGGATTGTTTTCACGCTTCAGGACGCGAGCAAATTATCGGATAAACTGCATTGTACCTGTAAATGCGCCATTTTCGCCATTCATTGTTGAATTAATAAAGTTCTTTGATGGTCCAGAGCAAACAATTCCCATCTTGAAAAGAAGATCACGGTTCCATGACAGTTAATTTCTTCTTCTGAGAAACAAATCTCGCATTTGTCAGCCATCTCGAAGAGTCGATCGAGACCAAGATGTACAAAGCTAAATTTGTGGCCTTCAACATGACTTCATTTCGGTAAGAAAATCGCCATAGCTACTGCCCAACCTTCATAACGTTGAACTATTGTACATCTAAGACACCATTTCGCTGAAATATATAAGGACTCAGCTGAAAATCGCAAGCAAACTTTTGACTACTGAATTCTCACTTGCAGCCGCAATTTCCATAATCGTCCCCAGGCCAGAGCTACACACAACTTCCTAGCCAGGGAGGGGTGGGATGTACAGTAGGTTTGCCACGCGCCCGCGCTCATTGTAAAGTCAGTTGCCGCATTTACGTCGATGATCACTATTAGAAAATTTGTTTCCTGTCTATAGATGTAGCTACAGTTCATTCGATACATGTAGCTACAGCTCATTCTGGAAATTCACTCAATTTAGTCTGTAATTTTTTCTGTTCTTTTACTTTTCATCTCTCTTTCGGGTCAAGATTTTGACAGATTTTTTTTAATATTTTCTCCAGGCCGGCGCCTGGCACGCAAGTCTGAAGAATTGTTTAAGGGGAACTGAAATGTATTTTCATCATTTCATAAATTCTTGCATGAGCCGAATTTTTGTGTGAATGATCCTTTCACAGGGAGAGCCAAAGTGAGTCAGTCTTCTCTTTGTCCAAGTACCCTTCCCGGAAGTCGAGTGATGATCACGTGTCAATATGAAGTTTAAAAGAAAAAGTTATTCCAGTGAATTCCGGAATCGACATATTATGAGTCAGGAGTTGGAGATGAACAGATTGTCACATCCTTCATCATTCCCCAAATACTTGCTTACAAACAGTGGTGAACTTTGCATTCTAAACACTAGTGGACTTGCTGGATGAAAGGGCATACCCCTTCTCTATCCAGAGAATGTTGGTGTACAAGATGATCCAAGATGGCTGCCAAAAGAACAGTGAAGAAGAAAGATCACGCGAGATAAAATAAGTAAGATGTTTACTGATGTTCACACAAGAACAGCCTAAGGCCGCTTACGAAGTTTGAAACGTTATTAAAGATTGCATGCAGAGAAAAAATGATCAGCATGGCTGCGTGATCTGATTCACATTGCACGGGCTGTTGCGTCTTATCAAAGTCAATTTAATCGGATGAATTGCTTATTTGAAAGGTGAGAGAAAAACGATAAAAAACGATCAAACCTAGGAATTGGTTTAAAAAGTACTTTAGTGGTATGGAGGATTTTATATTCGATCAGAAGAGGGTTTATTGTAAATTCGATTTGCAATTCATGTGTCATTATTATATTTCACCCCACGAACGCTCTGGAACAGTTTTCAGTGTGAAAATAAATCAATATAGGTTGATGAAGGGGATGTTTTTTAATGGCCAATATATGAAGTTGTTCAATTCGTATTTCTATTACCACCTAAACCTTGATTTTGTCTTAGATGGCAACGTGTCTCAGAAAAATAAAAATAAGTGGCGCACATTTAAAAAAAAAAAAATGATCAAAATTATCCGTGTTCCGTCACGAGCTATACGATGACTGAGGATTTTTTCCAGCTGTATTTGAACTACGTCACACCAAAGTGGCGAGTTTAAAATTTCCCGCATCCGACTTTAATTGCGATCTTTATCAAATTTTCTTTTAACCGTCAGGTATCATCGAAGACAAAAAAACGCTTGACAAGTTAATCTTTGCAGTTCTTTTCAAAGATTTACCTCTCGCTGATCGCTACATCTTCATCAGTTCAATATATCATGGACAAAATTTTCCGTGTCTCTCGAGGCCCGTTTACACGAACAACAATCAATCGAAATCAACAAAGTTTTGCATGTTCGCTTTGATACGCCGCCAGTTCCCATATAATTTTAATTTCAATTATTTTTTCTGGCGTTTCATCACACGATTCCCGATTTCAAAATAAGCCTGCACTGGTTGGCTGTAATAGTTGATTTACAATAATTAAGCCAAAACATTCACCGCGGAATGTTTTCAAACTTCGTTGTGTTTTTCTTTGCCCATGCAGTATCCTCAGAAAAGAATTTAATCAAGCCGTGATATTCAGCGAGATAAACACATCATTTAGCCCCGTGTTGTGTAGTTTGAAAGCGCCACCAGAATAGAGAATGCGTGATGTATTGCTACTGCAATCATTCCGTTGATTTTCTCGCCTACGCAAAGTCTACACTTGACAAATAACAAAAATGCAAATATTGTTGTGCCGAGTAAGACATTAATATTGCCTAAGAAACTGATATCCAAAATGTATGAGGAGATAGGTCACGGTATTACTGAAAATTCTGCTAAGCTGGGCAAACCACCGGTCTGCTTTCCCTGAGTTCGTTGTGAACGTGAAATCCTGCCAAGTATAGAAATCAAGGGAGTACGAAAAAAGTAATTTTAATTCTGTAAGAGAGCTTGATACGTAGAAAAATAAGTTAAATAATTTTTAAATACGTATTTCTAAAAAAAAAGTTACGATAATCTGCCATCGATGTCACTTGGTTTCTTTACAGACCCGTACTTTTGAAGGGCTAGTGCCGGTAGATATATTGTGCTATCGACTGGTCGACTGTACAGCTCTCTACTCAGTGTATTAAAGGTAAGGAAAGACAGAAAGTTTTTAACGGACTGATTATATGTTTTGCTGATTGCATTTCGTGTTTGAGACATTTCTGACAGCTGATTATAACCAGTTTAATTTTGAAAGAAAAAAAAACTGTCAGTTCGTCGTCTTATGCGAGTAAATAAAATGTATGAACCAAAATATCATGATCACTGAACAAACATGGCGTTTATCGCGGTTAAGAAACTGGAAAAAGACCGATTGATTAATGCACGCAAGAGGAAAACGATTGTATTTATTCTCTTATCCGTACCATTCTGTCTTTGCTTGGTATGATCACTTTTAGAGAGCCGCAACTTATTTTTTTTTCTTTTTCTATCATTCTTCAACCAAAAGAATCTAGCTCGCCCAGAACTGAATCTTTGAGTGCTAATTTTTGTCTGGTAAATTTTGGATCGGCTTGTTCAAACCAAACTTAATAGCCCTTATAACCCACAATTTCTTCATTAATTCAACGCTGACACGTAACACTCGGTAATGATTTCTACCAACACTTTTCAAAAGTGTAGTATAGAGAATAGCTAGACATTTACCACGAAGTACTCTAACATTAAGGCATCATTCTATATGATCAGGATTCTATATATGTTAAAAACTAATGACGCCTTTTATTCACAAATTGTACGATTTTTACAGAGTAAGGATTACGAGAAGAGTTTATGACAGCACAACAACGTCAACATCGCGATTAGCTGTAATTTTATGTTTTTTGCTTGAAGATGGTGGCTGGCATTTGAGATTGATAGCCTTTTCCCATCGTAACTCATCCGGGTAAGTTCAGATGACAAATTACAACAATAATGAATATTTATATTTTACCAAAGCAATCGCCCTTATTTATACACAACTTAGAGTGTAACCAAAATGCGAACAACAGTTTGCCAAGCGCTGTTGCTGTGGTTTGAAAGAGATTCCTATTTAATTTATTTGTAAACGCAAGAAAAGGCTTTTCTGTGTCATACCCGTCAAATGCGAAACAACCCTGCCAGTGCTTTATGTTAATTTCGGACATACAGATTTTTCCATCTAGACACGTGGTCAATTGTTTATCCAACAATATGACTGTAGACTGTTAACGCGGTCTCCTCGCTGTTCATGGCGCACTAAGCTAATATTGATACCTTAATCCCTGGTAAACCCATTAATAAACGAGACACATATTTACGAATTACAACGTGACCGTATGAATGTTGTGGTCCAGAACATTTCATCATAGCACTCCCGCAACCAGTTTTCTGTACAGCGGTGTAAACAAGGATGGTATAGATTGCCATGATCTTATTTTTTTTCACTTTAGTGGCAAAAAAAAAATGATTGTATTAAAAGCTACGAACACATCAAGAGGATTTATTTTCTCAGCCGTTTAACCGAAAAAGACAGAATAGGTATGATCAGGCCATGAACAACAGAGACTGAGCTCAGTCAGAACAATGGCGTTCCAAGTAATAAGGCCGGAGCCAAACACGTCACACACAGGCGGCAAGAACCAAATAAAGTATTGTTTCTTTGGGCAAGAAAACGCTTCACCGTATAAAGGTCTTCAAACTCAGAGCACAATCACAAGTTCAGGACACAATACATCACAAACAGACTTAGGGCTTAGCATAGCTTTCAAAACACCTACAGTTTATGGTTGGATCGTACGTATAACTGCCAAGCGATTCTCATTTCAGGTTCCCTGTCCGATTTTTTGTCTCTGAGCCTTTCTTGGAATCATACAAGGGCGACACGGCGAGACCATCAAGCAAATAGAAACTTTCGCTCGCTAGGAAATGCTCAGCCATTCCTCTTTGTTGTTTTCGATTTTGGCACACATGTCCTTTGTCCACTTCAACGCATGCGTTGACCGAAGAGAAAGAACCTGCGCACGCTCGGTAAAATTCCTCGACAGAAATAATTGCTCTTTTCAGGAAAAAGTTTGGAAAAGTTTGCCAAACTTTTCCAAACTGCCTATAAGATTCGTAAGCTCAGATTTAGTTTGGACTACGGAACTTTTCCTCGCAAAATTGTCTTTCTTTTTCCCTTTTAAACCATTCCCTTTGTTTGGAGACCAAGAATCCAGCTACGAATCGTGCCGCTAAAAGGTTTGTGACATTAGCGCTAGACAAATGGCGCATAACAACAGACCATTAAAGAAGACAAGCAGAAACTGAATTTTTGCATTTTTAACACTTAGCCACACTTTAAAAGAACTTCCCTTGCTCGGTGGCATTAGCATCTATTTGTTTTAAAACGGATTCAAATTTTCTCAAAGACAGTTAATTGTAGTTCAATTGATTTCTCCGTTCCTCCGTTCTCTTTTGAAACACTAGTGAAAGTGTTTTAATAACAATCGCTGGCCCTTCAAGGTATTATATCGTCTGTGCTTATTTCATCAGTGATTCATAGCTTATTTCCCCTATTATTTGAGCACATGTTTTATAACAATCGCGAACAAACTGTCGAACTGACAGAATATAGGAGACATAAAATGTAAAACAAGAAAACTAGAACCTGTTCGTCTTCAGTGCTCATATTGAACGAATAACAAGCAAAACGTGTAAATAATTAAATAAATTTTGTGGTACACCAATAAACATTAATTTGAGGGAACCAGAAACCTGTCAGTTTACATACAGCTTAACTTCCAGCATAGAATTCATAACTAGTTCGGATTCAGAAGTGTCTTTTTGTAAAATTAAGTTTTGTGGACAGATATTCTAAGAGTGAATCATCAAGAATGATTCCATGAGTAATGATAACTGCTTCCGCTCAGGTGTTTTCTAATTTTAACGCTTAGCTAGAAAAACTTGTGTTACTAAGTGCATTCGTCATTCTGGAGCAAAAGATTTTGCATATTGAGCTGAAAACCTGTCACGTACTCTTCTAGTACGCTTGCGCACAATAAATATTGGGCAATCCTTTCTGTGTGACCGATGAGCCAGTTTTCACAAGAAAACCGGCTGTACCACACGGAAAATGTCATTGAAAGAACTTTCTTGTCTCTTTTAGCTCAAACACTCTTTTTTCCGGAGAAAAATGGAAATATCGATGTTTTTTGGAGGCCTCAACAGAAAGGTAAGATAATTTTCTATTCCACTGTACCAATTTCACAGAATATTTTTTCGGTCAATGTCTGCCGAAGAGTATCAGACTACTCAATTCGATTTTTCCCGATTCCTTCTAAGTTTTGTTGTAGTTTAAAATCATATTGTAAAATATATTCTAGTTTTCTCGCTGCTTGAATCTTAGAGTTCGTCCATTTTATATTTTTTAGTTCGACTTAGTCCTCCGGGCTATATATTTGCCGCCGGCCTGCCGGAACGAAATGTAAATTATTCGGAACTCGGTAAGCTTGGTTTGCCGACTTAAGTAAAACCAAATTGACTTGCTAATTCTTCAAGCCAGCTTGACAACCAAGATCTAGTTTTGCATTGTAGCTAGCTTCCTTTCTAATGAACTTTGGCTGTCTCCATCGGGAGTACAGCTAATAAGTCGTCTCCTTAGTCTCAGAGCCAAAAGCAAAACCATCAGATTTATTCCAATAAGATTCACCGGTTTTGAAAAATAATCTGTTGTCCACCGTAAAAGACGTTATCAATGTTATTAGTTTTTACCTGGCGACAAAATAAACCATTGCTTTCTGCATTGAAAATTTCCCCGTCATGGGAGGGGAAAGTAGCCTGGTAATACTGACAGGGATGGATAGCTGAAACAACGGTCAGCTTTAGTTCACTATCCCCTCGGATGCTTTTCATCTCAAATTAATTGAAAGGAAACAGATGCAGTTCTTCCCCGTTGGTGTTGCTCNAAAAAAAACTGTCAGTTCGTCGTCTTATGCGAGTAAATAAAATGTATGACCCAAAATATCATGATCACTGAACAAACATGGCGTTTATCGCGGTTAAGAAACTGGAAAAAGACCGATTAATGAATGCACGCAAGAGGAAAACGATTTTATTTATTCTCTTATCCGTACCATTCTGTTTTTGCTTGGTATGATCACTTTTAGAGAGCCGCAACTTATTTTTTTTTCTTTTTCTATCATTCTTCAACCAAAAGAATCTAGCTCGCCCAGAACTGAATCTTTGAGTGCTAATTTTTGTCTGGTAAATTTTGGATCGGCTTGTTCAAACCAAACTTAATAGCCCTTATAACCCACAATTTCTTCATTAATTCAACGCTGACACGTAACACTCGGTAATGATTTCTACCAACACTTTTCAAAAGTGTAGTATAGAGAATAGCTAGACATTTACCACGAAGTACTCTAACATTAAGGCATCATTCTATATGATCAGGATTCTATATATGTTAAAAACTAATGACGCCTTTTATTCACAAATTGTACGATTTTTACAGAGTAAGGATTACGAGAAGAGTTTATGACAGCACAACAACGTCAACATCGCGATTAGCTGTAATTTTATGTTTTTTGCTTGAAGATGGTGGCTGGCATTTGAGATTGATAGCCTTTTCCCATCGTAACTCATCCGGGTAAGTTCAGATGACAAATTACAACAATAATGAATATTTATATTTTACCAAAGCAATCGCCCTTATTTATACACAACTTAGAGTGTAACCAAAATGCGAACAACAGTTTGCCAAGCGCTGTTGCTGTGGTTTGAAAGAGATTCCTATTTAATTTATTTGTAAACGCAAGAAAAGGCTTTTCTGTGTCATACCCGTCAAATGCGAAACAACCCTGCCAGTGCTTTATGTTAATTTCGGACATACAGATTTTTCCATCTAGACACGTGGTCAATTGTTTATCCAACAATATGACTGTAGACTGTTAACGCGGTCTCCTCGCTGTTCATGGCGCACTAAGCTAATATTGATACCTTAATCCCTGGTAAACCCATTAATAAACGAGACACATATTTACGAATTACAACGTGACCGTATGAATGTTGTGTTCCAGAACATTTCATCATAGCACTCCCGCAACCCAGTTTTCTGTACAGCGGTGTAAACAAGGATGGTATAGATTGCCATGATCTTATTTTTTTTCACTTTAGTGGCAAAAAAAAAATGATTGTATTAAAAGCTACGAACACATCAAGAGGATTTATTTTCTCAGCCGTTTAACCGAAAAAGACAGAATAGGTATGATCAGGCCATGAACAACAGAGACTGAGCTCAGTCAGAACAATGGCGTTCCAAGTAATAAGGCCGGAGCCAAACACGTCACACACAGGCGGCAAGAACCAAATAAAGTATTGTTTCTTTGGGCAAGAAAACGCTTCACCGTATAAAGGTCTTCAAACTCAGAGCACAATCACAAGTTCAGGACACAATACATCACAAACAGACTTAGGGCTTAGCATAGCTTTCAAAACACCTACAGTTTATGGTTGGATCGTACGTATAACTGCCAAGCGATTCTCATTTCAGGTTCCCTGTCCGATTTTTTGTCTCTGAGCCTTTCTTGGAATCATACAAGGGCGACACGGCGAGACCATCAAGCAAATAGAAACTTTCGCTCGCTAGGAAATGCTCAGCCATTCCTCTTTGTTGTTTTCGATTTTGGCACACATGTCCTTTGTCCACTTCAACGCATGCGTTGACCGAAGAGAAAGAACCTGCGCACGCTCGGTAAAATTCCTCGACAGAAATAATTGCTCTTTTCAGGAAAAAGTTTGGAAAAGTTTGCCAAACTTTTCCAAACTGCCTATAAGATTCGTAAGCTCAGATTTAGTTTGGACTACGGAACTTTTCCTCGCAAAATTGTCTTTCTTTTTCCCTTTTAAACCATTCCCTTTGTTTGGAGACCAAGAATCCAGCTACGAATCGTGCCGCTAAAAGGTTTGTGACATTAGCGCTAGACAAATGGCGCATAACAACAGACCATTAAAGAAGACAAGCAGAAACTGAATTTTTGCATTTTTAACACTTAGCCACACTTTAAAAGAACTTCCCTTGCTCGGTGGCATTAGCATCTATTTGTTTTAAAACGGATTCAAATTTTCTCAAAGACAGTTAATTGTAGTTCAATTGATTTCTCCGTTCCTCCGTTCTCTTTTGAAACACTAGTGAAAGTGTTTTAATAACAATCGCTGGCCCTTCAAGGTATTATATCGTCTGTGCTTATTTCATCAGTGATTCATAGCTTATTTCCCCTATTATTTGAGCACATGTTTTATAACAATCGCGAACAAACTGTCGAACTGACAGAATATAGGAGACATAAAATGTAAAACAAGAAAACTAGAACCTGTTCGTCTTCAGTGCTCATATTGAACGAATAACAAGCAAAACGTGTAAATAATTAAATAAATTTTGTGGTACACCAATAAACATTAATTTGAGGGAACCAGAAACCTGTCAGTTTACATACAGCTTAACTTCCAGCATAGAATTCATAACTAGTTCGGATTCAGAAGTGTCTTTTTATGAAATTAAGTTTTGTGGACAGATATTCTAAGAGTGAATCATCAAGAATGATTGCATGAGTAATGATGACTGCTTCCGCTCAGGTGTTTTCTAATTTTAACGCTTAGCTAGAAAAACTTGTGTTACTAAGTGCATTCGTCATTCTGGAGCAAAAGATTTTGCATATTGAGCTGAAAACCTGTCACGTACTCTTCTAGTACGCTTGCGCACAATAAATATTGGGCAATCCTTTCTGTGTGACCGATGAGCCAGTTTTCACAAGAAAACCGGCTGTACCACACGGAAAATGTCATTGAAAGAACTTTCTTGTCTCTTTTAGCTCAAACACTCTTTTTTCCGGAGAAAAATGGAAATATCGATGTTTTTTGGAGGCCTCAACAGAAAGGTAAGATAATTTTCTATTCCACTGTACCAATTTCACAGAATATTTTTTCGGTCAATGTCTGCCGAAGAGTATCAGACTACTCAATTCGATTTTTCCCGATTCCTTCTAAGTTTTGTTGTAGTTTAAAATCATATTGTAAAATATATTCTAGTTTTCTCGCTGCTTGAATCTTAGAGTTCGTCCATTTTATATTTTTTAGTTCGACTTAGTCCTCCGGGCTATATATTTGCCGCCGGCCTGCCGGAACGAAATGTAAATTATTCGGAACTCGGTAAGCTTGGTTTGCCGACTTAAGTAAAACCAAATTGACTTGCTAATTCTTCAAGCCAGCTTGACAACCAAGATCTAGTTTTGCATTGTAGCTAGCTTCCTTTCTAATGAACTTTGGCTGTCTCCATCGGGAGTACAGCTAATAAGTCGTCTCCTTAGTCTCAGAGCCAAAAGCAAAACCATCAGATTTATTCCAATAAGATTCACCGGTTTTGAAAAATAATCTGTTGTCCACCGTAAAAGACGTTATCAATGTTATTAGTTTTTACCTGGCGACAAAATAAACCATTGCTTTCTGCATTGAAAATTTCCCCGTCATGGGAGGGGAAAGTAGCCTGGTAATACTGACAGGGATGGATAGCTGAAACAACGGTCAGCTTTAGTTCACTATCCCCTCGGATGCTTTTCATCTCAAATTAATTGAAAGGAAACAGATGCAGTTCTTCCCCGTTGGTGTTGCTCCACCATTGGTTGAACATTTGACAGTCTGTCATTAGACCGTCAGCAGTGAACGGCTCGCTTTTGTTCTCGAGGCAAGCAGAATCTACGTGATGCTAGATTTGACGTCTGAATACCGAACCGAAATAGCCACCAATAAGAAAGCGGAAACTCGGTAACTAATTACAATTATTTATCAAATATTTTTATCGCAGTATTGTTTTGAAGGAGGCCCCGTAAAGCGGCAAATGCACCTGCTCTGACGGAGCTAAAAAATATGTATTTTTATGGCCAGAAAATTCCCCTTTCCCTTGAAATTAAATTTCGTTAACGCAGGAAAAATTTCCTCCGCAGAAATGTACATGAGAAAACGAAACGAACGGCATTCAAAAGAAAAATATCCACTCTTGACTGCTTAAAAAATATATTTATTCGTCGGCCTCGAGAAAATGTATTCCATTTTGTCGGTGAGTTTATTTACTATTTCCACCGCCATGGATTTCTGTTCCAATGAACTCGTGATAGCCACATTGAACTAAAGAGAGTGTATGGACGATCCAGCACAACATAGAATGATGCTTGGTCACAAATCCTTTGAAAATAAAATGGTTATTCGGTTTATTTTATCGCTGGAGTAAGGCCAGTGAATGTGGTTTTTATTTATTCTTTCCGCGCCACACCGCTTGGGGTTGAAACTACATTGCGAATTTTACTTCGGAAAGTCGTGTGTATTTCTTTACTCGTTGATTTACCGAGTGTTACTCTCTGATGAGCGCCACACGAAAAAAAAATGCTCGAGGGAGAAAAAATGAAATCAAAACTTTAAACCTGTCGCTTAGAAACAAGAAAGAAAGAGTGAGCAGTGCAAAATACATCACAAAATACGAGGTTGTAGAAGGCAGTGTCAAATAAATCGCCGGTTTCGTCGAAGGCCTTCGAAAAATCTGCTCGAATTTACAGAATAAATAGTCAAGGGTTTCACAGTGAATGTCCCTGGAGAAAATTCTCTTTATATTTACTCCAGGGATCTGGCGCCTGAATGTTATTTGAAAGATTTTCCTTGTCGATTTTTCAGTATTTTTAGTACGCATGGTCGATCATGTTGTCATACAAAGCGCTCCTCTTTGCAACTTACTGTTCCCATCTAACACATAGTTTTTGAAACTTTTAGCAGAGAAAGTATATTAGAAGAGAAGCGTGCAAGCGTTTCCTTTACGGTTTTCTACCATTTATTTCATGTAACTTCGAGCTCCTTTTGGGGATTAAATTGGCAAGTGAGGGAAATGTTAAACACGTAAGGATATTTTGGAGCATGTTAGGAGATATTGCAACATTGGAAAGCAAACTTTTCAAGTCACCTTGTGCTAAATGCTGACCTTAATGTTTCCCAATCGTAGCAACTAATTCCATGAAGTGAACAGCCTTTATATCTTTGCTGCACTGTTGAAGGAGCTGTCTGTAATTTTAGCATACTGAGTTTGGATTTGCTGTGTGGCTTCTTCACAAGTGGCCCAGATATGCTCGTTGTCATAACTTAGCAGCTTATATTAGATAACAGTTTAATAAACTCTATGTTGTAAAAATATTTCTCCACATTTCTAGGTAGGAATAGCTGAGCGAGTTGTAGCTTCTACAATATGTGTTTCTTAGACTTTGGCCCTGGGTTTTGCAGTGTTGACACAACACAGCACAACTCGTATACATGTGGATAGTCTTGAGACTGCAACAATTGTTTAAGCAGCTATATACATGTCGACAATCTGTGAACAGCAAAGGTAGCACTCAAAGTTGTGGCACAGAAAATGTTCTGCAACTGAACTGACCAGAAGGGTATAGAATGTTGTATATGGTGGTGAAGTAACCCTCACGAGCACGTCGTTTGTTTCTTTGCAGGATAATTGCTGAGATCGCAAAAACGTAGTTTGTTTTTATCTGTATGCTCATAATATTTTGGCAATCCCTTGCAAGGTTTTAAAGTTAATTTTACTCTTTGTCATCCTCTTGCTAATGATGCAAGCCACTGTTGCAGGAAGAGGGAAGACTTTGTAGCCGGCAATACGGTGGTTTGGAATAGACGTTGTCTTCGCATGCAGTGCTTGGGTTAGCACGGTTTGAAAAAGCAAGCCGGTAATATTTACTCTTACAAAATCAAAACGGGCTGGAAGTGACATTATAAGAAGAAAGCTTAAAAGCCCTTCCTCAGTCGTTAAAAATCGATGGAACAGTGAGTTGCACTGTTGAGGTTTTTCCTTCCAGGGTCATGTGAGGGGGGATGAAATACAATCGACGCCATTTTAATAAGATGCGAAAAGCTTTGCTTAGTTCTGATCTGTAATCCAGTAACGAGACGAAAAACTAGTCCAGAATATAGAAATAAGAGAGAACAAAGGTTGTACGTAAACTAAGTCTACCAATATGGTCGCCATTTTGAGTTGGAGGAAACTAAAAGGATTTTTCAAGGTATGTTTTTTACAGAATCGTCTGACATTGTTACGAGCACATGACTATGGAAATAGCTGCGTATGAAATAATCCATAGCAAAACAATAAATTTCCCCGTGCTCTTGCTTTCCCTTTATGTATCCAATAAAGCTTATATATCATTAGAAATCCTCTTTATCGAGGGAGAGCTAAACTTTTCCATCTTTTGCATGAGTTCCAAAGGGTAGTAGAAATTTTGTCATGCTGCATCAGGGTTAGGTTACAAAAAGATTAACGATTTTGTCATGGCCAGTTTACTTGACTAGTTCCCTATAGAAAATACCCTTACATTGCAAGAAATAATGCTCTAAGAACTCAATTGCGAAGTCGGCATTCTTTGAAGGAACTTCGTACCGCAGTACGATAGATTGTAAGGAAACACACTTGTATCGTTCGTGACACTTTATTCCAAACATGGAATTACTTTTACACGGATAAACACTCCTGCTTACAAGAACTTTCGCTGATGGTGCTTTCCTTTTCATGTATTTACAAGGCCTTAACTGGTAATGTTCACTCCTACGCAATGAGAAATCTCAAGTGTTCATTTGGTCTTCCGGGTTTGAATCGTTCAGGCCGCTCCTCGCATTCTGCACCATTTAAGGCGGTCCAAGATCAAATCTCGATCTTTAGACTCGTGTACTCGAGGCGCAAAAACCACAGCTCCAGATATCGGGTCTTCTCTGCATCACTTGGTATGCTTAGATCTTATGTAACTCGTAGAGGGGAAACGTTTGCGATTTTAGTATATTAGACAGAAAACTTGGTACTTTGTCAATTTCACTGCAAAGGTCTGGAAGTCTTCGCCAAAACAAGGTTTGCACGAGTTACCAAGTTGAAATGGGAAAGAACTTTCACTGAATATTTAGGGTAAAGAATCTCCTACGAGCTATAAGGCCTTTATAACTAGAAAGCGCTATTTACAAAATTGATCCAAGTTCTTTAGCTATTATATTTATCTTTTCCTTTTGAAATCGAATTTACCGAAATAGAGTCATGCGTAAGAAACATTCCTTAGAACGAAACTAAAAAATGGAATTAAATAACACCTTGTACGACCGGGGGTTCAACCCTACGAGTCAAAAACCTTTCTGTTTCGCGATAAAGGATCGCAACATAGATTGAAATCATACTTCGTTACGCTCAAGAGGCAGTATGGAATAAAACTTGCAGTGCCCGTTGGTTATGCTGCTTTTCTGGTCGATGATTCGCGATTAGAAGCAAAAGAAAGCACGAGATTCTCTGACACAGAGATGGAAAATGTTAGAGATTAACCAAAGCATGTCTAAGTTGTGCTGCAGTAGCCTTTCGTCTGCTGCTGATCTTCTACACAATATCCAAGAACTTTGAACAAGAAGCACCGATGTATATTTGCTTGTAAGTAAGCCATAAACTAGATGATGGTTAGCGTTTCTGTACTACTTTAACCGGGCGCTGGGTTAGGCAGAGAACTAAACGTAAAGCACTGCCTCTGCAACTTTTTGTCCTTGTCAAATCATCACACGGAATGCAATAAACAAAGCAATGAAAACTGCTCTTATTGCAATTCCAGCTTCTTCATTTCGCCTTCTCTTCTGCTGATAACTGAGTTCAACTTTATCCCCAATTTCGGCCAGCTGCTCTGCGACTTCAGACACGGCGAGGGAGTTGTTCAAGTCGCCATTAGGGGCAATGTGAGCCGGAGGCTGTTCGTATCGAGCGCCAGAGTTGTCTTTGCACATATTTTGAGCTCTTCTGAGAGTTATCAAGTCTTTCTGAGTACCAAACAACGTGTGTTTTTACTTGAATACTGTTCGAGTAAGTAGCACACCGTGTCACACGCCACTCCAAACACGTGGAAATGACTCACCGGCAAACCTTGTGATATAAGGGCTTGCAAAAATGTCACAAAGCCGGTATGCAGCGGCACAAGAAAATGATACCGAAGAATTCTCGCTTCAGAACGACTTCCCAGATTGGTCGCCGAAATCGACGAGACTGAAACTTTGCTCTGTTGCAATTTGCAAATCGAAAAACCGGCAATCTCGCGCGGTCGTCAAAATGTTGGCCAGCTATTCTGATGCTTCATCCATGCTAAATATTTTTCATTGCGTGTGTTTTGCTTACGTAATTATTCATCTGCTTGTTTGTGATTGGCTGCTCGGCGCTGGAAGGGGTCGATGATTGTAAGAGGCAGCGAGCGCGCACAGATATCACGAACTAGATTGGAGGGGAAATATTAATTGTAATGACCTTCACAAAGGGGATTTTGGAGGAATTTCCCAGTTCAAATATGGAAATTCCCGGTGAACACCGCGTACCTACTTGTGTACTAGTGTTTTGTTGTGGCAAAAACTTGCCGTGACAGTAGGTGCGACAATCAGGCGAGTTACAGGCATGCAAAGGAGCTGCTGTTTTACCCAATTGTCTAAGTATTAATGTTTTTTTGAAGTCGAATCTTCTCGAGTTGGTATTATTACGTTTTCCATTAGTATCTATCGTGGCTTTTGTTTCAGAAATGAAGAAACGCCCAACTCTAGCTCAATCAGTGATCACAACGAGACGGAAAGGGAAGCTAGAGTAACACCTCGAAATATGACAAGAGCGATGCAGATTTTCCGCGAGCGTGAATCAAATTCTAGAGTTGAGAAATGAAAAACACACGAGAGACGTCGTCCAAAAAGTGTCTTGTTTCACTGACGAGTGACACGTGCGTTTTTGCTGTTGTATCTATCCTGCTGAGAAGGCCACCGGCGAGTGCATCGTATTATATAACATGAATAATTCAAAGCACAATGCATGTGCAAACACGCTATTTCGCGCGTTTTCCTGCGAGGGAATATGTTCACTTCCCGGATGTAAGAAACAGGTTTTATGAAGGATAGGGAAAGCAAGCATCTCTTTGTAAACAAGAGCATTGACTCTTGTGCAATCTTCTTTCTTGTAATGCCTCAAACACTTAATATGTCTTGCAAGAGAGAGAAAATGCAAAATGAAAATTAATCGACCCCTCCAGGGACCCCTCAGGGGTAGTAAAACAACCTGATTTTTTGATTAGAGAGCAAACGCTAACAAAGTAATTGGACTGAGTTTTGGAATCATAACATTTAGCAAAAAGTCATGCTAGTCAAGGCCAAGAGATATTGGTAAATTCATTTGCATAGATACTGTTATTTCATAGGATTTTGATTAGCCATTTTCGATGCAGGCATTAACCACATGTATCTCTTATCGAGATAAAATTTGAAGAAAGCCAACTATAATATGTAATATTTGGTTTTGCTCTCGAGCTTTGCTAAGTAAGGGGCCTTTTTCTTATTTATCCAAAAACATGTGCTGAGTTATTCAGATTTTGTTTTCAATAACATATCTGAAAAGAAAAAATAAATAAACCTAAAAATATTATGAACTTTTCAGGCTATTTAAGTTTCACCGTTCACAAGTTAATTTAGCCCCTTCAAAGGAAAATATATTATCACATACTACAAACAAGCTTTGAAGGCCACATGAATCAATTCGTTCGTTTCATCTGTAATTTTCCTCGTTAATATTGTAAACTTAATCCCTCAATAGAGAGAAAAATTGGTCTTTTTGTCCTTAAATATTTTAATGGCCAATAACAATTTTATGAAAGCGTGCTCTTTTATATTCAAATACAAAGAAGTCTCGTGAACAATCCCACGAAATATCTAAACAATGCGGCTAACATGAAGGATCTTAACAGCTTTGTTCGTAAAAATACGCAAATTAAACCATTCTTTATAAATATTCCTGTGAAAAACATACATCAGAAATGTTTTCCGGTCTTTTGTCAGCGAGCCAAAATCTTCTGTTATCTTCCAATATAGAGAACTGTTCATTTATATAATTTATAAAATCTCATTGCTCGGTGCAGGTTTGCAAAATAATTCGTCCAATATTTTAAGAATTAAGTGCTATATCAAGATAATATTCCTCAACTGATGATTTGTTATATTATAGTCATTGGAAAAACACAAGAGGGGCTAGATGAATGATACTAGAACTCTTGTTGCTCCGAGAGTCTGAGGTTAGGATGTTTATGGTCAAGACTGCCAATAGAAACTAGAGGAACCAATCACATCCCAAAAAAGATGATGTGTCACGGACGCATTGCTTTCAGCTGGGTTTTCACCTGAGTTTAAACACAAAACATACTGTGCGCCTTTGTAACGTGCTAATAATTTATTTATTATTTAATCCACAGTGAACGCAAATACTTTTGCTGTTTAAAATCAATTAATAGTGTTATTCTACCCTGAGCTGTAGACAGACAGTTTTCATTACTGTGTAATCCCCCTGTAGGGCGCATGTCTAAATTATCACTGTAAAAAAAAACTGTGCTCCGTTTATTTCTGCCTTAACTGCTGTAATCAATTAAAATTACGTCTTAAGGATCATGTTTATAATTAAATATTATTGTCAAAATATCAAGAGAAGACCTTCTCTTGCAAGATATGTTTTATTTAACTCCAAGCGAAAGCCATATGTATGTTTTTTTCTTTAATACCTGTAAAATGAAAAAAGAAATGAATCATTTTTGATGTCTCCCCATGACTTCCAAAACAGGTATTTAAATTAATTTACAGCAACAAATCAGTAGAACTCTTACTTGAGTATTATTAGAGGTTCATTTGCCTATATGGTCAGTAAAGAAGTCCAAGTACTTGAAATGCTTGTGGATTTGGCAGCTGTCCTTCAAAATAGAAAACAGTGAATGTCTTAATTTTATTCAACAGGAAATGGCGCATAAAGGAAACCTGATTAAGCCTCTCGTGGTTGTCAATCTTCCTAACAAGTTGAGCAAGCCAGAGTGTGGAGGTGTGAAAGAGGATGTACTGACATACACTGGTATTGACCATCAGAGTAAATGTTAACACCTTGAGCTCACAATGGAAGGAAGTACGCACATTCAACAACAGGTAATTCAAAGCTTTTTTGCTCTTTTGTTTGCAGTGTGGATATCCATCCATGCAATTATTTACCGTTGTTGTTTAGTAGCGTGTTTGTAGAGAAAGGTACTTGCTGCAAACTAATCGAAACACAGTTTGACTGTTGTTTAGTTCACTTAAAATGCACCAAAAAAGCATTTTTATAAAATGATAAATAGAAGAAAGTCTTGTAATATGATTAACCAGTTGCAATCAAAGAGGCAAATGTGTTTTTTGGAACTCAAGTAAATAGACAAAGTAAACAGGATTTTGTCTTAATATTTTATAAAATATTAACAGAGTTTCACTCAGTGGCTAATAAGATTAACTAAAAAGTGTGTCTTCTGCCAACCAATGCTTTAAGTGTTTATGAAAAAACTAGAAATAGCTGTGTGAGATTTCCAACAGCGTCCCTATGCCTTGCTCCACCGCAAAGAGAGTATTCCTTCATCCCTTGAATGGCTGCCGTGATAGTTCATGGTGGGCGAGTCCAGCCGTACAGCTGTTCGTCAGTCTCAGTGGTGACTGATCTGAAACTGCTCGATCTTGGGGGTTAATTTTACGAGTCACTTCTTCGTTACTTATGTTATAAAACAACACTTTCGCTGTTTCTTATTTTTCTGTTATTTTCTACAGGCTTGCTAAGAGGAAAATCATGTTGTTGCTGATGATTTACAGTGTAGTTAATGATATATTTAATGCCATCATTGACATGTTTTTTTTGTTTGTTTGTTTTTTTTTTAAGAAAAAAAAAGGGAGAGAAATTGCCTGTGGCTGTAACGTAACCAGTGATCAGTAAACAATACTTATAGTCGTTCTAGAAACTGTTTTAAGCATAAAGAGTAAGTTAAAGTCAGTATTAACCAGTTGTGTACTATGTCAAAGTCTCGGCCTTCAATTGTGGAAAAATATGGCTCCCCAAGACGGACTGACAGACTAACAGGCTGAAAGACTAACAGACTGACAGACTGACAGACCGACTGGCTGACCATGACTGACTGTCTCCCTGCCTGATTGACTGATAGAAAGACAGACGATTTTACTATATTTCCCCAGTCTCGGACTTTAGTTCTTAATAAAGTTCAACCCCTATTAAACGGCCACCCTCGGGGAAATGTATATTGGCCGCTTAATGCGGGCTGGCCGTTTAATAGAGGTAAAAACAATAAACAAGCCCTCATCGGGACTTTGATTACTGGCCGCCTTATAGGTGTGGTCGTTTAATAGGTGACCGCTTAATAGGGGTTCGACTGTAGTAACAAGTGATCCTTCATCCCCATACACTTTTGCGTCTTTATTCGAAAGAATGACGACCATAGATAATGTTCCTTTGACATTTTAGTCACCTCCACTCAATGGTTTTGCCTCTATGCGAGGGCAAATCAAATAAAGCCTTTCAACAGTCTATAAAGATACCCACTCTGACTTAAATACTTCCATATTGCTGCACCAACCTGGTTGCAACTCGTTACTAGTAGCATGTATGTCCCCTCTAATTTTATCAACTCACAGCGCTTTCACAGTCAGAAAAAACTTTTCTTTTGATCTCCGTAGTTTAAGTTTTACTTAAAAGTTGTTTTGTAAAACCTTAGGTTCTCCGTGGGTGGTTATCAACAGGAGACTTGGAACTCTGAACGACTTAACACGCAATGTTTTTCATTCATTTTATTAATAAAGACTCAATCACAATTTGGCTTATCAACTTGGTAGAAGTCCGAATGAACATTGAAGTAGCACATTGTGAAAATAAATGCTAAAACTGGCGCAAACTGGAGACTAGCAAGCTTCCTGTCTGGCATTGACGTGAGGGTTTGACTACGCTGCAGGGGATATGAAGTATTATGTTTGGTGAAAACTTAAGGTGATCTCATCAATCTCTTGGCAAAAGCTTTTCTAAATTCAACGTAGCACCTTGTTATCTGAGATCAGCTTGCAAAATAAGCCCACACGCGACTAGGTTATCGTACGAGACGATCCATTCCGTAATGTCGCGTTATGCGCCCACGCAATGGTGCAGGCGCGAATTTCCTGCGCGTAAACAACGTGGTTAGCTCGCGACATTGGCATTGGCGTAAAACAAATTTATTTGCTTTCAAAAATAAATACGTGCAGAAAGTTGCCATTCTCTTATCACTGTTATTATTTTTACTTTAAGCGTTTTTACACCAAAATGCACGAAACCACCAAATCTTTTATATAAGTAACTTACAACTCTTTTTCAAACTCCCAAAGTAATTTTGCTTACGTGTTTTTTCTGAAGGAGAAATCCCAAGTCATATTTAGCAATTGAACTACTTCAACGGAACGGACCACTAAGCCAAGGTCATGTCACTCTCTGAAGCCTCTTGAGTAAATATTTTTTAAATGTTCATATTTTATCTTCTGACCCAGTAAGCCCAGAAAAGAAACGTTGAATCCAAAAGTACGAATGAAGCACTCTCTATAGCATTCGAAAGGTGGACGAGAAGGTTATATCTTACAACTATTAAAAATATTGGAAAAACTATGAACTGTTTTTATGTAACATATATCGTCGCGTACGTGCCTGCAATTTAATTAGAAACCATCAATTGCCTTGACTTTGCAGTTTAACTTATTTTTATTACGTCAGTGGAAAGAAAAACAATTATTAATATTTTATTTTCAACTCTGATTGGAGATCATAGAGACTCGTGGTACCTCATGAGGTCTATAAGCTTAATTAATCACGTGCTTTGTCAATCAGCGTAGCATTATATTGACTTTAAATCATTCGGGTTCCTCTTTGAACCCAGTTGAAATGAACCAAATCATAAAAATGTTAGAATTCTTGATAAACAACAAACATCGGCAAAGAACATTCACTGGTGACATTGTTTACTTCCTCGACGATGGTATAGCTTGTCCGTGACGTCATTTTACATTCTGTTCGTCAATTCGGGGAGCAGAGATGGCGCAGTGCTGAGAGCGCTTGCCTCCAACCAATGCGGCCCGGGTTCGATTCCGGCTCGGTGCCGCTTGTGGTTTGAGTTTGTTGTTGGTTCTCGTCTTGCTCCGAGGGTTTTTCTCCAGGCTCTCCGGGTTCCCTCCCTCTACAAAAACCAACACTCCAAATTCTTATTGGACCAGGATAGAGGACCTGCATGAAAACCATCTAAGGTTGATGTGGCTTCCTCTCTAAATATCATAATTTAAATATTGCAATTTATTTATTTGTATGATTACTGTACTCTTGTCGCACCACGTGATCATAAAATCATCAAGCGAGGTAATAAGCGACACGCACCACCTTAGCTTGTCGCAAATTAAGCATCGCTTAAACTCAAGAACGAATTCAGTAGCAAAACATTGAAGGGAACGGTTACAGTTTCCAAGGGTAAGTATTTTATCACCTAAATTGGAAATGGCGCTTAGCGCCTTAGAATTAAATTCATTCTCAAGTTGAACCCAGTTTATTATTTTAAGCTTTTTTAGTGATTCACAATAACAAGTAATATGGAGTCTAATAACAAGTAATACGGAGTCCCAGTTAAAGTTAGATGGTAAATATAGCCATCGCTTATGAAATAGAATCACTTAACACACACACACGTGCTTGCAGTCATAATCCGTGTGAGATCACGCACAACTTGAGAGCATTGTATGTTATTCATCGTTTGTTTTCCGTTTGAGCGGTATTTTATATAATTGGTAAATGGAGAATAAAAGTATTCCATAGGACACATGTCAAATCGATGCCGAGGGGTTTGGTTGATTGAGAAGGAGAAGACTTGGGTGAGAAAGACTGAGGCGAAGTGGTAAGCAAATTGAGCAGGTCATAGGTTTTCAATTTGTTTTTATATCACCAGAAAACTGTTAGAACGCGATCAAAACGCTGTTTTTCATTTCGTTGTTAACTTAATGCTGGTCTTCACCAAAACACAACAGCAACTACAACAACAACTATCTTCATTTGTACTCTCTCATATTATGATACTAAAGGCACAAAAATATCAATGTTAAAAATTAGAGTACTGGCTACCTGGAATAACCATAAGGGCTAGCGGAGCCAGGCAGCCAGTTGACATGAGTGTTAAAAGAAGATAAATTGCAGGTCAGCAAGACAACACAAATACGGAAAAAGGACATGATGTTATCAGTCAGTATCATATATGTAATCACGAAACTTTAAGATCAAACTTAGTTTTGCCTGCTAACAGTAAATCCTCAACTTAAAGAATGCCTCACGGCGATATTAGAAAAAGGCAAACGACGAACAATTGAAGCACGGATTAATTATTATTTTAAACCATAATATGCTTATGCTACCACATGTCCTTTTACATGCACACAAACTACCAGATCATAACATTAACTCATGAAAAATGAAAAGTACAACTGCCGTTAGTTTGGTTTCATTAAGTCGCAACTGACTGTGCTTTCATTCGTCGCAAATACAAATTTTTAGGAGGTTTTAAATCTTTAAATTTTTCGGAGGCTGATTATTTTTTGAAATATATGCAATTAAGGATTCTGTTTATCCATACTCTATTTTTATAAAAATACAAAAAGGGTACATCATAAAATAGAAATTTAGAACAAGTGACTCGAGTGAAAATTAGTCGACAAGAAATTGATCATTGATAGCTCACTCGGTTTATTGTTTAATGTGAGCTGATGTCTTTGCTTTCTGACTGAACGAAATGCAGACAACCACGATAGGATAGAAAAATAAACATGTCAAGAACATTCAAACAAAATGTCTGTTTATGGTTATCTCTTTGCCATATAAGGGAGTTTGTCACACTTATTGTTTAGGGTTGTTATTATGCAAATAAAAGTCGGTAAAGGCAAGTCTCTTTCTATATTATCAAGTTTATTTTCGACATATCGGCTTACTTTCAAAAAAGGAGCAATATTGTTCCATTATTTTACTTTTAATTTTGCGAGCGATTGGAAGAAATAATTTGGATCAAACCACATGTGTAGTATATATAGAGCTTCATCAATTCACGGTAATAGTGTCCCTTAGTTGCGTACTGTTTGTGGCAAAATAAAAACGATACTCGTCATCGGCGATGCTATCCTGTTATTTAGAAGATATCTAGATGTCATGGATCCAAGGAAATTCTTCAAAAGACTCGCTCGAGATCTTGGACTTCTAAAGACTGATTCAAGTACGCAGAGAAAATCTGAAAAAGTTTCTGAACCTGTGAATTTTGAACATCGTGTACATGTGGCTGTGGACGGGGACTCTGGTCGATTTGTTGGTCTACCACCGCAATGGAGACGAGTTGTTGGAAGAAAACCGGATCATGATGTTTCATATCCTGAAAATTCGCATTCAGTACCGAGAAGAAACCTCACGCAAAGGAACCGCCAAATATTGGATGATAACGCGCTTGATCACACATTGTCACGAACGAACACGGGGAATTTCACAAGTTTCGCTACTTCTTTGGAAACCCCAAGATCGAGGGCAAGCGTTGCGGATAATCAAGATTTAATAATCGAAAGACTAAAACGTGAGTTAAGGGATTACAAAGCAAGAAATTCACACGCATTTGAAGAATCGACCGAAGATATGTTTGGAAATCTAAACAGGGTGCCACTAATGCAGTTTCCTCCTTTGGATGAAAATCGGTCGCATGTTACTCTTCCGATATTTTCAAACAATTTTCACGAATCTGAGGAACTGGTCGAGAATGCTTTACTCACAAACGAGCTCGGTTCAAAGAACAATGGAAATTATGCACAGACGACGAAGACTTTGCATTCACCTTCACCTACGAAGCATGCAAATGCAAATGGTAAAATTACAGCTCAGTCGCCAACCAAACTAAACGGGATCAAATCTAATGGAAATCCAAAAGTTTTAAGGAGATCTGAAAGCGAGGTTTGAGGGACAAAGCATATTTAAAGTGATGTTGTAAAACATACATTGTACATGGTAATCACAGCTGCAAATTTTGGCTACCTTTCCCGCCGCATTTTTGAATATTTACGTCGCTTAAATTTATCGTATGATGGCAAAAAAATATTTCTTGTCAAAAGCAAAACAATTTTTTTAAGGAAAGCAAGATACGCTACTAACTGTTTGCTTCGTTTTACATAATATTTCATACAATGGGAATAAAAGATCCGTATACAATGCTTTTTGTAATTTTCAAAAAATTAAAGCGAAATAGTAAACATATGCAAATTTTCTTGTAGTCGTCACAATTTATTTTGTTTAAATAATTTTCAACAATGATTGACGTACAACGGCCGATTCTTAGAGGAAAAACTACAATCTAAAAATAAGCTTAGGCCTGGTTGAAAGAGAAAATAAATTTCATGCTTTACATCTGTAAATAATATATTACCGCTTTTATAATAAAATATTCTTAACGGCGGTGGACATTTTCAAAGCACGGAAACGTTAATCTCTAATTCTTTTGTTATTGTTCAAAACTTATTTCCATTTGCTAAAAAAGCTCAAATAGTAGGGTTGGTTTAGTTATATGGTTGTTACGATAGTTACGGAAAGATAACCTGCCCTTGCTGACTGAAATTTAACTCTGTAACTCACTTGCATGTCACTCAAGCCACAGAAAGAAGAAAACCGGACAGGACTTGAATCAAAAACATCAACGCAGTGCATCCTGGTTTATTCATCGTAGCTACGATGGCTTCAATCTCTGTAAGTTGTTTCTATCTTGTCACAAAGATCGCTAAAATCGCTGGAGAGCTTTAGCATACACGTAGGATTGCAACAATGGCTGAGAACCTTTCTTCATCGATCGCTGCGATCAAACCAGCCTTCAGACATGTAGGTAACGCAAACTTTCATCCCATGTTAACCTTAAATATTTAAAAGAAGTAAAAAAAAAAAATCAAAAACAAAAATAAACAAAATTTCCTTACTCCAAAACTGAAAAGTAAATGGAAACATTTATTTGTATATTTCACAACATTAGTATAATAAATAATTCAAATTGAACTTAACATTGTTAAGAATCCCAATTGGCCGGAGGCAAACCAGTTGGCTATTTACAAGCGTGAGCTGCTTGGATTTGAACTCGGGGCTACCGAGAAACAAATCCAGGTAAATGTCAGAGTGAGACTCGAACCCGGGACTGCTGGATTGCGAGTCCGACACGCCACGCTGCCTCCTAAAGTTGGTTAGAGTCCCCAGGACTGGAAAATATCCCGCAAGTTCCTGCAAATCGACCCAAAGTTGGGAAAGATCGCCCTGCGCCTAAGGCGGTCTCGGCTACATTTTCTCACTCTTAAGGTGAAGTGGGGCTATATTTTGGCCTAAAAGCTCCAAACCGAGCATTCACAAATTTTTCCTCTGTCCATTTCACTGAAAACCAAGGCCATCACGAGTTACTTTCGAGTTCCCGGGACTGAAAAATATCCCGCAAGTTCCTGCAAATCGACCCAAAGTTGGGGAAAATCGCCCTTTGCGTAGGGCGGTCTCGGCTACCTTTTCTCACTCTTAAAGTAAAGTGGGGCTATATTTCGGCCTAGAAGCTCAAAACCGAGCGTTCAATATTTTTCCTCTGTCCATTTCACTGAAAATAAGGGCCATCGCAAGTTAGTTTAGAGTCCTCGGAACTGGAAAGCATCCCGCAAGCTCCTGGAAATCGACCCAAAGTTGGGGAAAATCGCCCTTCGCGTACGGCGGTCTCGGCTACCTTTTCCAACTCTTAAAGTTAAGTGGTGCTATAATTCGAACTAGAAGCTCGAAACCGAGCGATGAAATCTTTTTCATCTGTCCATTTCGCTAAAAACCAACGCAACCACGACTTAGTTTAGAGTCTCCGGGACTGGAAAATATCCCGCAAGTTCCTGGAAATCGACCCAAAGTTGCTGAAAATCGCCCTGCGCGTAGGGCGGTCTCGGCTACCTTTTCTCACTCTTAAAGTGAAGTGGGGCGATATTTCGGCCAAGAACCTCGAAACCGAGCGTTCAAATATTTTTCCTCTGTCCATTTTACTGAAAACCAAGGCCATCACGA